ACCACAAGTTTCGTGCAGTACTGGGATGCCAAAAACCTCTGTGTTTCCAGAGAAGGTTGCAAACTCAACTTCTTTCAAGTGATGCACCAGACATATAATTCAAAACCCAAGGCTCTTACAGCTTGTAGAAAGAGAAAAGCAGCAATGTATTTCTTTAAGAAAAAGATTCCAAAATATGGGAGGCAGTTCTAGAAACAATAAGGAGACTGAGAAATGGTAAAATAGGGTACCCTGGTATGCAGATATATTTCATACTGAATTATGGACTTGTCCCAGTAGCCTCTTATTTTGTTAGGCTTCACTTAATGCAATAGTCCTTTGCATTCATACTTCTGAGTTCCCTAAAAGAGCTACCAGTAAATACTGCCTAAAGCATTCACAAACAGAGAGGCAGTGCTGCTTGGCATTGCGGCTAATAACTGCACATTACCATAAAGGATGTCTTCCAGGTGATGCAGCAAATGCCTTCTTTTGAGCTATTTCCCTGACATCTTAGTGATGGAATGACAAAATTCCAGTATTAGTCTTAGAGCAGCATTAATAATTATCTGGTTTGCATTTCTATGGGGCAGGTTATTAATTAACCTATGCTCAGGGTTCAGCCCTGACAGTGCTCTTGACTCTCGCTGAAGTGGAGTGATTTATTTGTTTTTGGTATCAAGGACATGCGGTGCTGACCTTTCCTGTAAAGATGTATTGTGTTTACATCCTGTATGTGGCATGATAGAAAAATCAAACTCCTCTGTTCTTCTGGAAAACTGTGAATAAATTATGCCTTGCAAATAGGTCATCCGATTCCAGCTTTCATGGAGGCAAGGTGGCCTTTAATTTCTGAGTGAAAGCAATGATTTTTCTAACACATCAGAAAACAAAAGCTGGTAAGACACAAACCATGCTTTTTATGGTTTTAGTCATTAAATTTTTGTAGGTCTCGTCAGTCTTCCAGCCAACTGTGCTGTGGCTCCTTCTGTCTTAATTCCAGTGCTAAGACGTGCTTAAATACTATTCTTTAAAAAGAAAACCAAAGCTAACCATGCACAAGAATCAGTAGTACTGAAAAGGCTTAATGCTGCTGTAAACCTGTGTAAGACCTGTGGCTGTAGGTGACAAGATCCTGAAACACTGAGCCTCCTTTACCTCACTGGGTGCACATGTTCTTTACTGGCTACATGACGCTGGTCATGTTGTAAGACCAGAGAGTATAAAAGGGGAGCTGACAGTGGCACAGACTGTGTGCTACAGTGTTCAGGGTAATTAGTGGTCATTTGGGACATCATGGTGGAGAGCTGTGTTAATTTTGCTCGTGAGGGATGTTGTTTGGCGTTGTTAGCATGCCTCCCTTGCTCTTATGTGCAGTTTAACAGGATTGCCTGACAGGTTTCTGGAAATTCTGGAAATGTTGAGTTTGACCAGATGAGCTAAGAGTAGTGATTTCTGGTGCTGGAGTCTGCTGAGAATGTGGCCGCTGTTATCAAGCAACCTGATTGTGAGATGTTTGCTATTAAGTATGCTACTGAGATTTCTCTCCGGAGTTTTCTTGCATGTTATGAAACTCTTGACTCATTTTGCTGCCTTATGTAGAAAAATAAAAGAAATTATGAAATTATAAAGGAAGCATCAGTGCTCTCTTGGGTAATCTCATTTCAGAGGAGCACAACATCTGCAAAATGACACCTACTTTTCATTCTCCTTCAAGAAGCTGCATCTCAATTAACAAAATTGATGGCCTTAATAAAGATACTTAGAGCAGTGGTTTCAGAGCCACCAGATGCTTTCATCTGTTAGACCAGAAAGGAGAAAAAGTATATCAGTAAGCATCGAGAAGAGGGAGTGTTAAATATGTAGCAATCTTAAAAACAGTACTTTTTAAAACTGCTGTGGTTTGCCATGGTTTGCAAGGTATGCAGAGCCAGCAATGCAGTATTTTCATGCTGTGAATATTAATTAGTCAGTTAGGTGAAAAAAGTGTATCTGCATTCACTAATAGCAAGTTTACTGTAGTAAAATGTGTAGACCAGAGGCATGTTTTGCATCATTCACAGGGCTTGAGGACTTCTGATGCAAATTTTTATTGCTGGTGGTTTATAGAAAGGTCTAATTCTGTTGCTATTGAAACTGAGAGATTTGCTCCCAAATGCAATGGGAGCTGGCCCTTGCCCATGGGTGCTTTAATGTCACGTGCCATACAATGTTTGCTAACAGGGGAAAATTCATATGGCTCTGTGCTGCTTAGATATTTCAGTGGCTTGTGACCTGTTAATAACTTAGACTGAGGGAGATTCGTGCTAAAATTATTGTTCTGAATGGATTGTCAGAATTTATAACAGCACATATGGCAAAATATTTGCATCATGCTTTATTGCTTTGACTTTTTCTTCTACGTTTCCCTGAGCAGCGATTGCTGATGACTCACGATGCTAACCAGCCACAATAGATCTCATAGTAGTTTAGGGTACCAGTCATAAAACTACACAGCAGTACAGTTATAAACATGGTGTTTGAGCAATGCATGTCCCTGACATGCCATTCATGGTGTGCTAGTTAGTGACAAAATGGCGTGTGTATGAGTAAATATAGGCCTTTTCCTGGACATGACGACATCTAACAGGGTTCTGAGCCTTCCAGCTGTGGTTTGCTGCTTCTGAAACATCATAAATTCTTCAATAACTAAAAATTTCTATTGTGTGGGTACCTCTTCAGCTGGACCACAATGAAGAATTGAGGCGCTGTGAGTATCTACTTCCCATTTTCACCACAAGCTGAGAGGCTATACTAGTTAGTGCTCAGGCCAAAGAAGATGTGGATTGGAAAGACGATTTCTATACTTTCATGTGGCTTCTCAGAGTACCAGGCATCCTCCCAGGAGGACACTGGCATGCATGAAAGAGGAACTTCCCTCCTCTTTCTGCTGCATGTTTACCAATACTCTTCTTCAGATCTTAGAGAGAGAAATTCTGCCCGCTGGTTCAATCCCCTTTCCTCTGTAGCACTGTTGTTCACTTAATGCCTTGCTCTGTGGAAAGCTGACAGCTTCTGTCATCTCTCTACCTCCCATTCTAGCATGGAAAGAAATAGAAAAAGTCAGCTTCTGAAGTGTTAGGGTGCTACCATGCTATGTAGGAAAATAAAATGCGTTGTTATGATGCGTTAGGGTGGTACTTTTTACTAAACAGTATGAAGATGTACATGTGTATATTTTCTTAAGGGCCACAGCATCAAGCTACCACTACTTTCAGAACTTTCTGTTGTGTTGTAAGTAATTAAGCCTGAGGTTTAATCCACTGGTTACTCAACTGGTGCCTGTCTGGCTCCTGCTTTGATATATAACTTTGATCCTGAACCAAGGGAAGGATTTGCCTTTCCTTGCAGCATCAAATATGGTCCCAAACCAGAGACAGATTGGTGGCCTGAGGCTGCTGTGTTCTTGCTGCTACTCAGCAGCTTCTCGGATAATCACCCTGGTGGGTCTATTCCTGGGCTCAGAATTTAGTTGATTAATGGATTTCGGTTCGAAAAGGAGTTTTGTTTCAGATCAAATTAGTGCAAAAGCAACCTTCTCCTTGTTGAATCCATAAAGTGAAAACAGTTTGCCCACTCAGGGAATCTTACCTTTTAAATTCTTCAATATTTCCAGGACCTTAAAACAGTTGTTCTCTTCTTACTGTGCATTGAAATGTGGGGGCTTTTGATCCAGTTCTAAAAGCCTCCAGTTCCCTGCAGGGAGCTGGGAGAGGCAAGTGAGTTTGGTGGATGTAATCTGCAAGTGTGTGTACTGGGGAGGCAAGTGAGTATTTTTTGAGCACCACCATTTGGATTTACGTGGCTGCAGGTAAGATGGATTCTAAGCTCCAGACAGTCCCTTTCAACCTGAATTTCTTATGATCCTCTGTGTCAGAATGCTCTGAACATCGCAGCGGCTGATGGCAAATCCTTTACTGACATCAGAAGTCCTTTGACTTAAGTGGAGTTACAACAGCTTATACGAGTTGAGACTGCCTTCTAAAGTATTCACACATGCAGCCTCTTGGGGTCTAACTTTCACACAAAAAATATGAGAAGAACTCCAAAGCAGTCAGTCATATTTTGCAGCTGATTTTTCCATATGGTGTAGCTGTATGTGAGAAAATGTGACTGCAAGCATCAGCATTCCTATCCTATGGTTTCCAACTGCTTAAATAAATAATTCGAAGGATATTGGGAACCGATAAATGTGGAGTGTTTCCAAAATCTTCAGGCTATTGAAGGTGTCCTGGACAACAGCTTTTAGCAATAAAATATGTGCTATAGTGTAGCACAGATTTTATTGCAAATCCTAGGAGCTGTGAAGTCCAACTTGTTAGAAATAAAGTAAAGCAACCCATTTTGTTTTGTCTATTCTGAGTTTTTGAAAGGCTATTGGTATAAGATAAAGACCATCTTGATGTATTTGCCAAAGAAACAGCTAAGATTTCACAGCAGACTGCAAGATGCACTAGCCAAGCTAACAAAATAACTAATGCTATTGTTTTTTATTAGTTATTTGCTTGCAAAATATTAAAATGTTAAAATACTTGGGAAAATGTTTGCAAAAGTAGTAAGCCATTTATGCAAGGGCATGGATTTTCTGTAAGTCTAGACTGGCCTCATTTGAGTGGTTTCAAATGGAGGTGATTTTACTTCTTTGTGTTTCAGGTCAGGACAGTGGCCAGGCTGACTTGAACTGGACCTTGACCATAAAATATACCTGTCTCTCTTTAGCTGGAATTCTTCCCTGTACAGATGACTGATAAAATAAAACCAGAAATTTCAGCCTAGAGAGTACGCTATGCATAGCATCTTGGCCGGCCCACCTTTTCTGTACGAAACTGTGTATGCTTGCAACATGTGACACTATTAACCAGATAGCTCCTGAAATTGCTTTTTGTTGTCAAGTTTGACATACTGTATGCATGTTTTAAGGCATAAAATATAACTGATACGTGTTTTCACTTCCTTTCTTTTTATTGTTTTTTCCTTTGCAGGCAGAGGGTTCCAGGCTCCAGAGAGAACTGAGAGGATATTTAGCAGCCATCAAAGGTGTTTTTTAAGTTTCACATCGTATTCTCATAAAGCAAACTTTTTTTAAAAATTGAGACAAGTAGGCTTATTTAAAGCACAGAAAGACAAATACAAGCAATACTGCTTTTGTTGTTAGTACTCCACATTTCTGCTTTGGGTCTGGCACAGGCTCTTTAGCCTGTTGCTAGGGATTCTGCATCTTCAATGTCAATTTATGTGCGTACAGTCTTGCATGCATGGCTGATCCTTGGCTGTCCTTTGTGTGCAGGACTCCTGCCGAGATTCTCATGTTGCATGCATTTTGAGCACCCACAAAATCTACGCATCTTGTTACTCATCTTTGTAAATGCTAGAAAATTAAATACCCCATGCAAAGCAAGGGATTGCTTGACCTCCACAACTGTAGCATTTCCATCCAGATATTATTAGTTGGATGATGAGCTCTTCCCTCCAAAACTACATTCCCTGTGATGACATAATTTCTCATGTATTTCTGCCTGCTTAGTCCATTTTTTTTAAGTTTAAAAATCAGATATGATCTCTTTTGATACTACATTGATAATCCAAGTAGCAGAAGCTCACTGGTCAGCACTTAAATATCAGAGATTAAGTAAACAGCTATTTAAATTCTATTAGACATCTGTAAATCCAGCACACTCAACTTAGCACCATACACAGAATGTTCTATTTCTCATGCTGCCTCTCTTTGGAGGATTTGGAGGCCAGGTGCTAAAGGGAAGGGAATAAGAGTTGGCAACTGACAGAGAGGCAGTAATGGCTTCTTGAGAGAGAGAGAGAGATGTGATAAACATATATATGTATATGTGTGTGTGTGTGTGTATTTTTAAACTGGCTCCAGTCCAGTAGGAAAAATGTTACAAACCACTATTAACATCCCTGGAAATCACCATGTCATAATAAAGCTTCAGCAGCTGTTGACAGGCAGGGAAGAAACCTCTCTTTGGTGGAATTGTAGAATGGGGAACAAAGCAGTACCTTAATTTCTTTGACCATTATTTGCTGGGTGGGCTGGGCAAGGAAAATCCTGTACCAGGCAAGAAGTATTTTGCCTTGTAGGGATTTGAAAAATGTCTTTTGTTCTTAGAGGAAATTTCAGCATCGGTCATTTTTTTGGGACCCACTGGATGCTGATTTTGCATTCTTATTTTTCAGTCATCCCTTCCCCACACTGAGAAGCAGCGTGATGAGGCTGTTTGTTGGCCAGATGGCTTTTCTGTCACGTAGGCTGACTGTTTACATGCTGCTTTGATTTCCGTGTTGGTGACAACAATCCTCCTCTCCATGTTTCATTTTCTCTCTCTTCTTTTCCTAGTACTTTGCACATCTGTGGTCCTTTTGCTGGTTTACTGTCTAGTGGGCTACTCTTTGCACCGAGTTTTGGTTTTAAGTTGGCATGAAATTTTTCATTGTGCAACTTTTGCCTTTTTAGCTACGCTTTTCTGTTCAATATCTTTCTCTTGTTGCAGCCTGTAAGTCCATATCTAAAAATAATTTGGACTGACTTCCTTACTGAGAATGAAGAGTGTTTGCTAACACCTTGGTATCTTCGTGGCTCAAAAAAGACCCAGTCATAAGCAGCTTGCAAAAGCCTTACAAATGTTATTCTCCAAAGCCAACAAGCCACCAGTGGGCATCCTTGGCACACATGTTGGCACACCTTCATGCTGTGTAGTGGGAGGACAGCCCAAGACAGTAGTCCACAAACACAGCTCTGGCTGGGGCTTCCCCAAAGCTGACTAACTCAGCAGCAGCAAAGGCCCTTCCAGATTTTGAAAGGCAGAAGCAAATCCAACAACTGCTACAGCCTATTTGTTGCTATTCTTTGAAGGACTGCCATCATTAAAACATTTTGGGGTGGCTATGCACAAAAGCATGGGAACCCTTGAATTTAGGCACTGGAGTGGGATTTCTACACCTAGGACATCTGAGCCTTGGAGCCATGCTGTCATCAGGGGCTCATTTTGCAGGGAAAAAGTTCATCATATATTTGGGAAATAATGCACTTGACATCCTTGTACTCTTACAGGTGTGACAAAAGCAGTTCATTTTAAAGGGTTTCAGGAATTGGCCTCTAAAGGTCTCTTCCAACCCAAACCATCCTGATTCTGTGATAACTAACTTGAACTAAAATCATTTTATGAAGCTGGTTTGTTGTATTATCAATAAGTTTCATTTTGCCACATGACTTTTGAGTTACTGGATATTGAAAGTTGGAAGTACGAGATCTGGGCATGACTTAAGCAAGGAGTGGTCAACTGAGCCTTCCTGTGACCCTCTATCCCTTCATTTTAATATACTTGACAGTTTAAAGTTTAGTATCACACATTCTTAAAATAAAAGAATTTTTGTTGTATCCAGACTCTTCCTTTCACTCAGGGGTGGTTCTTAGTCTTAGCTGGATCTTGATCTTTACTGCTGGTTGCTCAAGGACTTGGAGGTACCTTGCGATAAAGCTGTTGAATGGCTTTTATGTGCTGTTTTATTTCACCTGCCATGTATCAGTGGTGTTTGTACTGACAAGACTGTGTACTGTTCCCCATAGCTGTAATCATCTCACGCCTCAGTCTTCTGTCTCTTCCAGTCTCCTTGGCAACGTGTATCTGGGTTGTCTACTTCTTGATTTATTTTTTTAAGCTTTTGAGAGGTCTAGGTGACTTGAACAGTTTTATGGGCCAATTGTTAAAAGAAACCCTAAATCAGCCTCCCATTCTCTGCCCTGAGCTCTTTGCAAGTACCAGCACAGTTGGGGAGATACAGACCTGGATCTGCACACAGGTGGCAAGGTGGCAGAAGTGAAAAGGAATCCTGCATCATGAAAAAGAAGCACCATAATTTTCAGGTGGCTTAATGTAAAGAGAAATAATAACCAGTCTACAGGAAAGGAAGGGGAGGTTTTGGAGGTCTGTAAGCAGTTTTGCAGCCTAGTTGTCAATCTGTGGCTGACACATGTCTAACTGCACATGTCCTCCAGACACACACATCTTAAAATCAGTCATGTAATTTCTTAGAGGCAATAAAACTATTTGTCGTCATTCTGTAAAATTTAGTAATGAATTATGAAATGATTGAGTTGTTCCAGTGGAAACTCTAATGGATAACTAGCAATATCAGATACAACCCTTATGGCAGGATAGGTCATTTCTATGGAGAACCTCACATGAAGCTCTCTTCCCCACTCAAATAATTAAATATCAAAAGCCAGACCAAGGTGCCTCACTCCATCAGGAAAATGGAATTTTCACCATGATTCAATCTAGATTTCCCTGCCAGGGAGTGAGGAAACCCAACAGTACATGTGTCCTACAGCTGACATTGAGTCACAGGCCAGTCTCAATCTCCATGGGAGCTTGAATATATTGGAATTGTGATGGCCAAGAGTCACCTACCCCCTGCTGTCTCTAGGGCAGTGTAATGGGAACGTCTCTGCACCAACCCCCAGGATCCCTACCACTTGGGGGCCTCTAGGAGTCCTTTGGGGTTCCAGGGACAGGGGATCTTCTGCAGAAAAAGAGGGATGATTTCATGCAAGAGCCTCAGCGTTCAGTAACTGGATTACTTAGCATAATTTTTCTAAGCAATTCAATTATTTTGGCATTTTTAGTTATTAAATAAGTGACCCAGTTACCAAGAAGAAGCACTACTAAATGAAACAATTCATATTAAATATAAATTTCTAAGTGTTCATCAGCAGTAAAAATTCTTTTCACATTTCTTTGTACTTTAATGACTTGCCTGAAACAACTCATCTTTCTCAGTGATAGCAGTTAAAAACATCAGAGACAGCCTGCAGTCTGTGGCTGACACTAATCCTCTTAACTTTAGTGCTGAATAATGCATAAAAGGTATCAGTGCGTAAGAAATAATTCTATGTGAAAACCAGCCAAATAAAAAAACATTGGACATAGTAAGTTTATGCCCACAGGCATGAAAAAGAATGGTAAGCCTCCAGATTGGTATTACCTATGCACTAATTTGGGACATTGCAGTAAAGCTGGTATAGATACAGTTTTAGGGGAGTAGGACAGATGATCTTGATCTGTGAAAATTTCAGACTGAAGCCCCTGGTGGAGGAAGGCAAGTACTGTAATGCACACTTGCCTCATGCTGCAGCTGGCTTTGATTGATGTTTTTTACAGGAATGTGGTAGAAGGAAGGATTACCAGATTCTCAGAACTGAAACAAGTGTAAAAATTGGTACAACTTTGATATGACTCAAGCGTGGGATAGTGTGTCTTTCACTTATTCACTTAAGCAAATATATATGCCCAAGTCCTGTAGTATTTAAAAAAGAAAGTCTGTGTAGGAAAAGGTGCTCTGCCCCAGCCTGGTCTGTGACGGAGCTGAATGCAAGCTGCAGGGGGGATTAGCGGGCAGCCGTGCTGGCGTGCCTGCCACGGGGACCTGCGTGGGAGGTTTAGCACGCAGCATGGTTAAGGGCAGAAGTTCAGGTATCAGAAAGGATCAAGCATGAGCAGGGATGCACAAACCTTCCCAGTCTGTGTGTTTGCCCTGAGTGGACAGAAGCAGCCTTCTTAAGCATGGCGATGCTGTGCTGGTTTTGCCTTACCTCCTGAGTTGATTAATTTGGGGTGGCACTAAAGATTTTAAATGAGAGCTGCCTGGAAAAATATGTGAAGATCATCTATATTCTACTGTAATCTGGCATATTCTAGGCAAATAACTCCCCCTTTCATTCAGGAACCCTTTTCTCAGGTAATGATGCATCATCCTAAGCATTATCCACAAAGGAGAAAAGGAAGAAATGCATCTTAAGTTCTTGTGCTATACCAATTCTCTGAGCTGAGCTCTGTCATTAAAAAGCACCCCCAAGACAATCCCTGAAGAGAGAAATTACTCTGTTCTGGCACAGCACCTTTGCATTTAATGGTGAAAGCTTGCACCCTCTGAACACCATGGTTTTCTTTGCACTTATTCTTCCCCTTTCCCATGCCATTCTCTCCCTTGAACCGAAGGTCTGAGAACAGCCATCTACTTTCAGCTTTTTCAGTGTCTTTTTTCCTATCCTACCCATTCCATAGACCACCATTTTTATATTAGGAAGTGTGCATCATTGCATTTATTTTCGTCATATTTGAGTGTGTGTTTTGGAGTGCATGGTGGAATAGCTACCGACTAGGTCAAGCCTGCTCTTCTAGCATTCAAGTTTCAAATGAATTCTCCTCTTCCACTCCTAATTATTTCTTTGTGCAGAGTACAAGAATATCGATGTTATTCTTAAATTCAGCCACTGAGCAGTTAAATCTGAAGGTCATGCTAGAGATATTTTCAAGACAGCATAGATGTGCTGCAGCAAACAGACTTTGGCTGGAGAGAAAATGTGTTTTTTAAGAAAAAAAATAATGCTAGATAAAAAAATAGCAGTCAATATTGTTCAGATTTTGCAAAGAAATTGAAATAAAGTTGTCATTTTAAAATTGCTGATTCTGGACTAAGTCTTCGCATGTTAGGTGAGATCAGTTTTGTTTCCCTGGATTCAGAACCATATTCAACATCTAATGTATTTGTGCTCCATCAAAATGGAAAGGCAAACTCCAGGGCTTTCCCTGAGGGCAGTGATTTATTCAAACTGATCTCACTGAAGATAGATTTAGGCTCTTTCTTGTAATATCATTGAAGCTGCTTTACATTTAAGCCAGCTCCTCTGTGTATTACAGACTTAGAACCATCAAGAGTCCCTGTTCTTGTTTCACCTGTGGTAGCAAGAGGTCCCAGGGTGACTGATGCAGTTTGGCTCAGTGCACTTCTCTGTAGACACCACCCTGCTGCCAGTGTGAATAAGCACGGGGCTCCACATATTCTAAACCTAGTGGGTGAGCATACAAGATAATCATTCTTCATAAAGCCAGGTCCCTTGCGGCACTCTCTCCAGGTTCAGGCATCTCCTTTCCCTAGATTTGTGGACACTGCCTCAGCTTTTGCCAGTCCTTTGCTTCATTATTTGCATACCTTTAGATCACTGTCATTATTGTGGGCACAAGAATAACAAGCTTCCTTTTCTTAACCACTCACTTAACATGTGAAAGCTCCTGAGACTTAAATATCTTTGAAAACAAGGGAACTGAGAGATCCTAGATATGTTCTGCCTGTGTGTGACCTCCCCCATTCTGGGGAGTGCTTTTGGTTAGCTCAGACCCCTTCTAGCTTTTCTCTTAAGTCCATTTTTACAGCCAGCAATTCCCCAAAATCTCTGCCATTTTAACTGTGCCACCCTGGAGATGCCTCCTCTTCCACACAGGTGGGCATGGTACTTACTACAGGTAAGGTAGGAAACTGTTCTGTGGGGTGGAAGAGCTGAGAATAACCAAAGGCAGCTTTCTATTTGATTACCTTCTCAGTGACAGTCTTTCAGTTAGGACTACCCTCCAAATTCTTATTCATGTTCAGCTATGTTTAGTTCAGAACAGAAGATGGATTCCCTAATCTGATAGAAACTCATATAAATATGGGTTGATCCTTCTCTGAGGGACATTTCTTGTTAACCTGAGGGAGTTGGGTGAAAATAAAGGGTTTGTTTCAGTTCTTGAAAACAATATTCTAAACATGCCAGAGAGAATAGTACAGTGCGTACATGTGGGTCAAAATAAAGATATCTAGCAACTGTTTCTTGCGGTTTGCAGTGATATGTTCCTCCTTCTGTCTAATTACAGGGATGCAAGATGCCTCAAAGAAGCTTACAGAGTCACTTCATGAAGTGTATGAGCCAGATTGGTACGGACGAGAGGATGTGAAAATGATTGGAGAGGTAAGATATGTGGAAAGAGGAAAAAAGTATTTTGGCTGCAAATGGATTAATCTGAGCTGTTGAGTAGAAGTGTACATCTGAAATTTCCCTTAATTCTTCGTTGCATGTTAAATCCTGTTTTCTGGGTATAGAAATGATTTGCCTTGCGAAAGGCAGCCTGCTGACCAGATGCCGCATTTGCAATGTCTATTTTACGAACTAGCTGACGTAAGCTCCCACTGAGGTCAACATCAGCGTGAGCAGAATTGGTCCTGATAGCAACTGATTAACAAGTTTGTACAAGGTATCTTACCTGCAGTTTTACAGTCAGGATTCTCAATACAATTGAACATTAAAAATTATCAAATCTGCTTAACCTTGTGTTGTTGAGCCAGTGGCACTAAATGGGATACCTGATGGGACAAGAATCTGGAATTTAGGGGTAAATTAGGCTGCAGGGCACTATTAATTTTGGCCTTTTTAGCTTCCTCCGGTGATTAGAGAAGAACAGGCTTTTCCAGAGGACAGTGCAGGAATTTGACTTGAGGTGCTCTGAACTGCCTGCTTAAACAGCCTTAATTCTGGGGGAAGTCTGCAAGCAAACGTGCTGGTGGTGACAAGAAAGTGCAAACTGTTATCAGTGCAGCTTTTAACCACCTGGCATTCAGTTTGCAAGGCCTCCTGGATAATATAGTTAACAAGAAACTGGAAGACAGAGCAGTCTTCCCAAATCCTAATAGATTGCTTTTCTTCTCTATGGATGCTTTCCTCTGCCCTTCTCTGCTGCTGAAGGCATGATGTGGTTTTGATTTTAAAAGCACCCAACTTCCATACTACAGAAGTTAAGATACTATATCATTTATATTGTTTTATGTTAAATAGCTGCAAGACCTCCTGCTGCATCTTGCTGTAGCACCTCATCTTGTATCTGTAGACTATTAGATTTTACACTCAGAAATTTGTAATTGTGTGTGAAAGGACCAAAACTTGGCTCTTAACCTCTATTAGATATAGGGATAAATGTTAGATGTGTTGTGTTAATAAGAGACTGATGTGGGCAATATTACAAAATCTCCGCTTCTGATTTTTTTCCCTATGTAATCACAAATGTAGATGTATGCATCCCCCAACATAGAGTAAAAAAGAATGATATATTTGTGCAGTCCAGGATATAAATGATCATGACAAAAGGGATCCACCTAAATGACCTTATTCTGTATGGTAGGAAGGATGATGGCTTAAAGGACTCTTCAGAAAGCTTTTTTGAGCCCATTAACTTTCAGAAAACCTCCATGATTTTGATTTGTCCAAAATATGCATCACCAGGATACAAGGGCAAATGCAAAAGACTGGCAGTTGCTTCCTATGATCTAATGCTATACTGCTCTGTGGACCTCTGTGATTAAATATTGTATTAATAAATGAGGTATTTCTTTTAAGCATGATTAATAGGTTGTAATAATTCATTAGGGACTCTCTTAGGGTAGGAAATGAATGAACTGAATGCTGGCATCACACAGCATTTATAATATGCCCTATAGTAGTTCATGATAAAACAAACACAAGGGAATAGTTTATCAGACTTGCTGGTGAGGATAACAGCTCTGCAAAGCAACACTCACCCCCTTTAGCCTCCCTCCCATCAAAGGAGGAAGTTCAGTGATTTTTGAAATGTGCAAAGAAAAGGGGGATCAGGATGTGTGCTAATGACTTGTTCAGTTGAGAACCCGGGACCTCGAACAATATGTCTCTGTGTTACAGGATTTGCTTCTGGCAAGGAATCTCACCCTGCTCCCCACAGGGTCCTTGTCACATCAGCTGCATTAACATGTTCTTAAAAAATGGAAAACTACAAGGGGTGTCTCTTGGTGGCTAACCCAGAGCTGCAAAGGGGACTGGGGAAAAGCACTGTAGCTTCTGGGGGGGAGTTTGTTTATTTTGCCTGCTGATGTTGGCGTGTTTCATATCTGGCATCCCTGTTCTCTAGCAGTGTGAGGTAGAGTTCTTGTCTGTGCATCAGCCATTTCATCACATGTACCTTAATGGCACAAGAAGTATGGGATGGGAAGACCTTTCTTAGGGTGGGTCTCTACAGCTTGTATTTTAAAAATGACCAAGCAAAGCTAAGCTTACAAATCCTTGCAATTGATGGGAGACCCACTTTATTTTTTCCTTTATTTTATTTACTCTTCTATTTTTAGCTGTGCTTCTTTTCTCTGTAAGGAAGGCTCATCATCAGTGAACATACTTAGGCGTAAGAACTAGGGCAGCTTCAGATTCTGCATTGTTGACCCTCAGCGACCTGAAACCCTGAGGAAGACCTTGAATCTATGATATCCTTACTTTCACATAGCAGTGACTGTTTGAAAGAATGAAAACACAACCTAGTTATTAAGCTAAATCTTCTTTTGTTGTGAATTTAAACTTGCAATGTCAAGGTATTCCTTTTCCTTTAAGTGCACTCTGATTTATTGCCATAAAGAACATTTTAAAACTTCAGACAGATTAATCTTTACCAATTACATTTGTATTTGTCCCAGTCTCGGAGTGAAGTTAAACTGCTAAGTGCATTTTTCTCTTTTCTACCTTTACAGAAATGTGATGAACTGTGGGAAGACTTCCATCAAAAACTGGTGGATGGGTCACTGTTGACCTTGGATACATATCTAGGACAATTTCCTGATATCAAGGTACAGTAATTATTTCCTATAAAGGACAATTTGTAAAATTACTGTTGAGTCATAAAATAAATAGAAAATGAGATTACAAGCAAAGAAAAACTTAAAAAAGGGGGGGGGGACACGGGACGGGACATGGAAATCATTCTCTTCTGCAATGTAAAAGATGTGATTCTGTAACTAAATCCCTGACGTTATGCTGCACAGATTTTCCACATGAACAAAAATATTTTTCATGCAGTAGTACTTGGAAGTAAATTAGCCTCTGTAGATAAAACTTCTTTGTTTTTTTGCTGCTCCTGTTTATTTGGTATGAAATAATTCTCACCAAATTCAACAGGGACACATTAAGCTTTTCAGCTGTTAAAATGCCAGACAAATTACAAGATGAAAAGCAGGCCTTTTGTTATTGGCTAGATGCACCTGTGGGTATCTAAATATCTTTCTCTTAAGTAGGCCATGGTTCCTGTCTTTTAATTAGTTATAAAAAGGTTTTGTAATACACACCAGGAGAGACTGTTATACAGATTCTAGCCTCTCCCTCTAGCCTCTCCATCTCCTGTCTGACGTACAGTCCAGGGAAATGGTTGTTAAATGAAATGTGTGGGGATAAAGAATCATTACAGGTGAGAGGTAGATACTTTTATATTTGAATGTGACTGTAGGGACATAGCTGGACATTCTTTGTGATGGCTTATAATTGAGTGACACGCAGTCATCCCCTTAGTCATTTATATCAGGGATTAAAGCAAAAATAATTTAAAAAATCCCGTTATTACTGGTGCTCAGTCTCAAACTTGCTTGTAAATCAAACTGCCCTTATGCCCTCTCAGCATGTGGAATTTACATATAATATATATCTTTGTAAAGTCAGTATATATCAGAGGATTTTTGTTTAGTTTTAAAAGAATTACAGCAGGTAAATTAGAATTCCTATTGTATGCTGAACTCCAGTTACCTTAGTTATGTGTCAGAGCAACTATACTGAGAATTATATTTAAAGCATTTCTCCAACTCTAGAAAAAAATTACATTAATTATTTATTAATTTTTCACACTATATAGAAGGGAAAAAAATCATGTTACCATGAGTTTAACAGCTCCACTTTTTCTAGTGATTGAGACAAGACTTACATAACATTGATATCTCTATTCTAAGGCCTGTAAGCACTACACCCAGAAAAACCCCTTCCAAACCATCTGTAAATGGATTCCTTATTTAAAATGAGGTGATTAGTTTGTCTCTTTTACCTTGTCCACATTCCTGCATGATATAGTAATTCAGATATGAACAGCAGATAAGGGAGAATAAAAATTTATCAAAAGCTTAAATGACAACATAAGTAAAATTGCTTTTTAAAAAGTGCTGTTTGTGCTGACTTTCTTTTCTACCCCTGTACAGACTCGCATTGCAAAACGAAGCAGAAAGCTAGTGGACTACGACAGTGCAAGGCATCATCTAGAAGCCCTGCAGAGCTCAAAAAGGAAAGATGAAGGCAGAATTACCAAGGTAGCACAATTGGAAGGAGGCTGGCAGAAGCATTAGGGGCCTTGGGTGGCACTTGTTTCTGTGCAGAGACAGAGCACAAAGTTTCTCTTGTATTTCCTCTCTCAGAAACGGAAATAATTATATCCTTAAGCACAAATATGTATTGAGTATTTTGGTGCATGCAGAGGACACGCTCAGCCTCTTTCAGGAATGAGTCCCATTTGAACCCTAACTTTCTCTCTTGATGAGACTGAGGGGCCAGTACATCCTGTGTTGGCCTGCATGGTGTGGGACCGAGTCACATCCTTTGTAAACAAAAATTGTAAAAGACCCGCCAAAAGAAGTGCAGAAAAACAACTTTGGCAGGTTTCGTTATGTTGTAGTGATTGCAGGAGTCACCCTGTTTCATTTTTGTTTAGGCAGAAGAAGAATTTCAAAAAGCACAGAAAGTGTTTGAAGAGTTTAACACTGATTTACAAGAAGAATTGCCATCTCTGTGGTCACGGTAAGCCTAGGCAGATATTTTCTGGAAGGCTTAAAGGGGGAGTAAGGAAAGGGAACCAGGGGATTTTAATGAGCTGAAAGAAAACTGTTTGATGGCTCCCTGAAGATCCCATCCATTACCTTTTTGAAATAATAAAAGGGAAAATGCCTGTACATGATCCAAAATTATATAGTTGTATTTATGCTTATTTCTTTCAGTATATCTTGGCACATAAGATTTGTTATCATATCTTCATTCTGAGGTGCAAAAAGGTCTCCATTTTATGGGTGAAGGACTGTGTCAGAGCACAGAATAGCAGATTGTGACTATGACCCACTGCTTCCATAACGTTTCTCAGACACCTTGGTGGTGGATACCCAATCCTTTCAAAAAGAAGAAAAGCCGTTTGTTAATAAAATGGATCAAATCTTTCCACTGTCAGAAGTTACTGTACTAAGCAGCCACATGCTTTTCTAGATTTGCAATGGGTCTACTTATAGGTCATTTTTCTGTAAAAGGTATCAAAACAAAGAACCTTACAAATGTGTGAAGATTTTAAGGCAACTGTTGTTTCCAAGTTCCTATAAGGTACTACTGAAGCAGTAGAAGAAGGGAAATACAATGTTATAACTACATCAGAATACACATTTCATAGTTTTGCACTGACTGTCTGTGATATAAAAGCATCTGATGGCATAGATCATTCATTCAAGATGTTTAATCATGAATTGTGTTTATACAGTAAATGCAGACAAAATGAACGGCAGAACAAAAGCGGTAGAAAAAGAAGCAGCTCATTAGTGTGCTGTGTTCTTTAACAAATGACAGTCTGGAGTGGAAATGTGTTGTGAGTCACTGAAGTATCCTGTGTCTTCTCTGCCTTCTATATTAATTCCTGCTAAATTTCAGATCAATAGAGGGTTTTCCTGCTGTGTTTCTTCCTATTTTAGTTGAAAAGCTTCTCAGCACTTCAAGATATTTATTTTATGGGCTTACTAAAAGTAAAACCGCATCTGAATGATTTATAGTAAGGGCCTTTCTATTTTAATATGTGTATTACCCACCAACTAGTCTCAGGGAAAGGTAGAATTTAATTTGAGCAATAGGCATAATCAGAAAGCTATTGCTTTCAGAGTCCTTTTTTTTAGTTTTTTCAATTCTTCAGGAAGAAAATAATCCATTGAGTTGACATTTTGCAGAGTTATTCTTGTGCCAAAGATTATTTTTGTTAATAAAAGTTTGGAGAAATTACATGTGAAAGTTTTGAATAGGAAAAAGAATAATTCAAAACCTAAGAAAACACCTTCTTTTTTCGAAGCGTACAAGAGGTATGTAATCGCTTGCTCCAAGCAAGCAGATATTTCACTGCATGTGCAAAAATGCCTAGTCTATATCAGCAATTACTTTCTCTTACATACATATGCATGTGTTTCAGGGCTGATTTCTTTTAAGAAGGGCTGAGCGTGGGACCCCCACCCCCAAACACCTTAAAGCTGCCTCCAGGCGCACCTGCATCCCCTCTGTGCTGCAATTGCAGCATCTAGGGCGCAGGTGCTGGTGGCGCCAGAGTGGCACCTCTCTCCTTTCAGTCAATGGTTTCCTGCTGTCTGGTGGGAGATGGGGTGCCCAGAGCACCTTGTCTTCTGTGTGCTTGTGCCACACTTGTGCCAATCCTTTTCCAGTCTTCCCTTCTCTAAAGCAAGTTGAAGCCCCCCACGGTGGAGTAGTCTCAACTTGGTTGGCTCTGTGTGGTGTGAAATATGATGGTTCTTAAAACAAACAGAAATAATCATGAAAGAATTAGTCTGAAGTTTTGACATTCGACCAAATTATTTGCTTTGCTGAGAACGGTAGTCAAAAATGTTGCTTGTAGTCTGGAAAAAGAATTAATTAATTTGCCTTTGTGGCCCTCCCACCCCTGTCTTTTGTTCTCTTTTTCCTTTCTTTGTGCCATCCTCCGTAGACGAGTTGGCTTCTATGTGAACACCTTCAAAAATGTATCCAGCCTCGAAGCCAAGTTTCACAAGGAGATAGCTTTAGTGAGTAAAAATGAGTGTCTCATGTATAATGGATTATGTGATATGCATAACAGCAAGCAAATGTCTTGTAATGCAGCAGTGAAAATCTGGCAGAGGCACACATGAGAATTTGCCCTAGATCCAGATTTGTAGTATAACCTTTGTATTGGTTTCTACTTGCCATTTTTGTACTCTCCTTAAGGAAAGGGCAGCCCATACAATTTTGGATTACAGTGCATTATCAGTTGTAGCACTAAATTCACTTTCTATTTTGATAACTTCTCCATTCTTTTTAGCATGCTGTTGCCTTCAGTATTTTTTCCGTGTCCAATTGCGAAGCATCTCATTGCTTTAATCACTACATGAAAAACACGTCAAGCATTCCCTTCAAGACTGCTATATATATTGTCAGCAATACAACATTGTATCTGTGACTGTTAGGCAAATCAAGCAGATTTAGTGAGGATCTTTTGAATGTACCTTGCTAAGTGGTGGTGTATTATCTATAGTAACCTCCTAATAGGAACCAAAATTGTTTGGAAAACTCGCTTGACTGAAGTCCCACATAAACTGGGATTAGGTTCTTGAGGGGAAAACATGACTCTTCTTGGCTACCTGTGTTGCTTTAAACTTTAGGCCACTGCCTTCATCAGAGATCAGGCAGCAGTCAGTCACACTTATAAACTCGTTCTCTGAAAACCAGCTTAAGTTTTTGAAGAACATGTTTTTGGTTCTATGGATTTTGATAGGTTTCCACTTAGGTACTGAGTATTTTTGGAAGGATCTATATGCCATTTTAAAATTATGAGTTATATATTATCAGGTTATCATTTATCAGATCAGATTTGTCAGACCTGTGTTTTTAATCACAACTATAGTGCTTCATGCAAACTCAGACAAGTGTTTTGTTTTCTCAGCTATGTCACAAACTATATGAAGTGATGACGAAGCTGGGAGATCAGCATGCAGACAAGGCCTTCACCATTCAAGGAGCACCAAGGTGAATTTCCTGCTTTTTTTAATGAATTGCATTGCAGTAGGCTTTGTGGGTTTCAACATACGTAGTAATCACCTACACCACGTGTAGCGATTGCTGCACAATGCAGTCACTGGGCCTGTTCGTTCAGGATGGTACACAAAGGTACCTTGGATGAAGTTCTTCCCAAGGCCAGATTCTCAGCTGTTGCAATTTAGCCTAGTTAGTTCATTGTAGACTGTTACACGGGTCTGCACCAGCTAAGTATATAACTCATTTATTCTTAAATGCTTAGTTTACAGCAATGTTGATAACTCGCATAATTTTTTTTGAAGCCTTGAAATATTTAGATGTGTTTTCAGCTCCTTGACTAGGTGGGAATCCCAACCTTTGTAAGTCAGCTTTTATCTCTTCTGCTCATGGGAAAAGTCAAGAAATGTGACCTGAGAGTGCATGATAAAAGCTGAAAAGCTGAAGTAAAAATAATATCACAAAATACCATATTTTTAATGACTCTCAAGAGAAACCTGGTCTTAAAATAAAAACAAAAGCAAAAAATGTTTAAAATCAGATGGTGCTTTCTTAAAGTCAGTGGATGCTAGCACAGTATTTCTGATGTTTTGTTTGCAATAAATGTAGCCTTTCTGCCATAATTTGATCTCTCAGTACTGTAATAGTGATAGGCAGAAGAGCTTGAAATTATAAAACAGTGAGATTTATCAAAACACAATGATATTTAGAGTCAATACATAAATCCTGAATATTCAGCCAATCCTAGCTCATCAGAAGCAATCAGAACAATGTTATAGCTACTGCTAATTTGCCCTCAAGATAGACTCAGATTAGCAACAATTAAGATTGACCAAGCAACATAACATCTGCCTAAAACATATGGCTGATATTTCTACATTTGTTTTGATCTCACTCTGGAAGAACAAAGAATGAAATACCAAACCTTCTGATCTAATGCAAAACACAGAACTATTTTATTAAGCACGTGTCAAAAATTTTTGGTTTGGATTAGTTCAGGGTTAATCCACGCTCATATATACTTACACACTGCCTCTGGAATTGTTAGCTCATGCATCACCACTTCCAGCCCCTTTAGGATGAACTCATGAGCCGGACTATGTTTCCATAAAGGATTTGTAAAATACTTTTATGGGATGAAAAATAATGTAGTGTTGGAAAACTTCAGTTTTTGTAATGAACAGATATTGCATTTACCTGTGTCTCCTAGACCATATCCAGCACACACATGCTCATTCCCACTGAATTACTTGTTCCATCAATGAGAGAAAAAAAATAATTATTGCTGCAAATGAGTAGACATAGGTTAATGCAGTGTGATCTTAACTTATTTTAAAAATGCATTTTAAAAATACATTATTTTTCTAGTTACCATGTTACTCTCTTTTGCCATACTGTTCACAGAGCATTGTGTGAAAACCTGGATAGATTTTTACTTCCATTATTAGTTATGATGTTCTAAAAGACTACTCAGGAGTGGGTCTTTGTAAAGTAGAATAGCTTTCCTTTTTAGATGCAAGAGAAGTAGATACTAGATAAGTACAGTACTTTCCTTTAATGAACTGTATAAAAAGAAACATCTTAAAAACCTGTATGCTACTGAGTACTCTATCCTGAAGGCAAATATTGTACCTGGCAAAGAAATTTCTTAATAACTGCTTATTTTTTCTTTTTTAATATTTCCACAGAAAGAGGTGGTGAGTGTGAGCTAAGTCTGTCCTTTCCAAAGAAAGAATTTTTCTCGTGTTAGCGTTAGGAACATGTTTATGGTGTGGTCTCCTCAATCAGGTAGCGCTTCTGTTCTCCCTGAAGATGTGTAGGAGTCGCTCTTCTTTTACTGAGTACTGTGGTCGTTGAGTGCTGTAGTTTATAGCCTCCCCAAGTCGTAAGCTTTCAGCATTTCTAGGTAGCTGAATATGTCTCGGTGTTTGCACCAGGTCCTTTCGTGGGAAGGGCAGATCCTTTCTAAGGACTTCATCAGATCTTTTCTTAGTATCAGCAGAGCTCTGTTGAAGTCACTTGACTAGTGCTTGTTTATAGTTGTGGTGAGTTGTCCCTCTAAATAGTGATATCCTTATAATAATCTTGGTTATGTTTGATTTTATTGGAAACTTTCTGAAGTTGCTGAGCTTTTAAAATTATTTGCATTATTCATTGTTATGCCTTCCCCTGGGATTTTTATCTTTAGAGCCTTTTATTCTGAGAACTGTGTGAAATGAAGACAGTAATTCCATTTCACAATTATGATAGTTGCAAACTTATACATGAAACGTTATTTCAAATACAGAATCTGAAAAAATGCAAGTACTCTGTTTCCCTCAAGTTATAATGATCAGGTAAACAGATGTTCCAGAAATCAAGGTCACTCAAAATTAAAACTTCCTTTGATGCTGTATATCACTGAATTTTAATTGAATTTAATTGCAGTTTTAGTTTTAGTCATTATATAATGGCTCTGTTCGTCTCCAGTGTGTACTGCATTTTGTGGTCACTGGCATTGCATCAGGGCTGCAGCTCAACTATTGCATCAAACTGTCAAGGTAATAAGTCAGCATGATATGTATGTCCTCACTGTTGCTTTGTTCCCGTCTAGTGATTCAGGTCCACTCCGCATTGCAAAAACACCATCACCACCAGAGGAGGTCTCTCCCTTGCCTAGCCCTACTGCTAGTCCCAATCATATGCTGGCACCAGCATCTCCGGCACCAGCCCGGCCTAAGTCACCCACACAGGTAAGCAGAAACCTAACAGGAGAAACTGGCCTGTTGTGCAGTAAACGATAGCTGAGGTGATGTATATGGTGGGTTTTTCATTTAGGCTGGGACTTGAGAAATGACAGGGAGGCCACTGGCCCTGTTTCACTCTGTTCTATTCATTGGTTGTTCATCCCTGTCTCATGAGCATGGGTGGAAAGTGGTTTTTACATAGTGGGGAATGAAGAAAATTTAAGGTGCCCAGTGAACTGAGGGGACTTGTGATGACAAAGGAAAACATTTCTTAAAAAGTTGCATAGTCTCTAAGGACCCATATCCCAGCAGAGATTGTTTGAAAAACCTATTTAGAAAACCTCCTCATGAATTTCAGTACATTATGTATTTCTGCTCTTCACTCACCTTCAAATTTATGGTTACCCTGGAAAAAAATTAGCCAGTGGTCTGGCCAACTTCTAAAACAGTAAATAATAGAGGTAGCTTAAATACCGCTGTGATAATCACTGATGATTAAAGGCTTATTGGTTGTTATTAACACTGGATTTAGAAGTTTGACACTGTTGAATTCATGGGAGTCATTTCTATTCTCACCTGCATAGGTGAAATAAGGATCAGTTTCATGCATCTGTTTCTTCCATAGCATGAGAGTTGTATGTGATACTTTGTGAACATATCAAAGACTCGTGTTGATGTTTACAGATGTTTTCACAATTGGGATAGCTTCCATGCTGGTTGCTATTTCTATGGTGGGAGAATATCAGAGGAAATTTAATTTTGCATTTAGATACATGTGAGCACACTTGTTTTCTCTGGTCTCCCAAAATGTGACACCTCACTGCCTGAATATTCATCCGGTAGGACTCAGTCTAGTCTTACTGGTGCCAATGGTGTTATGTCGCTATGCCACCTGAGAACTTTTTGTGGATTTTTTTCCTTGGTATTTTGACAGATTATAAAATTATCCAGTAGTATTTGCTATTATTCCAAGCAATTAGTTTTTCATATTTATGTGAATCTCTGGAGAGCAGGGGGGATTAGTAACCTAAGCACCTTTGAGGTGGTAGTTCCCAGAGATGATATGGTCTTAGCAATAAGTAGGCTTTAAAGGTAGCGACTGGTGGGCAGGGACAAAATCCCAAAGCTAAACAGGAATGAACCTAAGAAGCCAAAAAGCTGCAGAGGCCTGGTTCTGTGCAGCGTTGCCTTTCCAACTATGGGCTGCATAGGAGAGGAAGTGTCTTGCACTGTGTGCCCACCACAGCAGAAAAAAATCAGCCAAGAAATGCTTTTGCATGAAACCTTAAACTTTGAGTTGGAATGAGTTTGAAGCATAGAGTTGTTTTGCTTTTCCCACAATGTTTATTTCAAGGCATTTGGTGGCAAAGAGCCAAACAGTTCTTTTCAACCCATGGCTTATTCCCACATTGAAGGTGAAGCAGCAGAGATAAAAACCTAACACAAATTGTTTAGGCCTAGCTTAAAGCTCTTTCTTTTATCCCTGAACTGATCTGTGACATTTTTGCTGTCTGCCCAGCTGAGGAAAGGTCCACCAGTCCCACCATTGCCGAAGCTCACACCCACGAAGGAGTTGCAACAGGAGAACATCATTAATTTCTTTGATGACAACTTTGTCCCAGAAATCAATGTGACGACCCCATCACAGGTAAACTTCAGAGGATGGTGTATCGTCCAACCTTGCAATCACCCTAAGTTCTCCAAGATAGCAGCCTTGGGGCTGATCTCTCTGGGGAGGGAGGAGGAGGGTGCAGGTGGAAGGCAGAGGCACAATATCCATTTTATGTTATCTTGAAAGGGTCACGCATACATGCACACATATTTGTCTTTGAATAGGCCACACATAATCACTCAAAAGGGCTAACGTTGCTAACATGTTAAAAAAAAATGAGAGATTTCCTAAGAGACCTGGCTAAAAATACCGCGAAGCAGCCATGTTTGAGATTTCTCTGCATCCAGGTTGCATTACAAGCTGGGACTTCATTTAAGATGCGTCTTTTCTAATCCTAAGTATCTCATGTGGCACTTTACAGTGATCCTTCATTATTTCTGATTCTTCCATCAAAATCTTTAAAAGTATTCCTTTTTTCTTTTGAGTGATTTAACAAAAAATAGAACTTGGCTGTTTTAATCAACTTTTTGCAGGTATAAAAGGCTGCTCCAGCTAGATTATTAATTCACTTGGTTTTGACTCATTGAAACATTAGTTTACAGAGTAGAAAAGTGATCAAAATTACTTTTATCTCATTTTTATGAAATTATGATTTTTTTTTTAAAATTTCATGCAACAAACAGAAAAGCCAGATTTGTGTAAAATAAGTCTGTATGATTTGTATTCAGTTACTCAGCTTTTATGCAGTTATGGTAATGGCTGGTTTTTCAATAATGGACCCTTTCTATTATGGTAATTACAACTCTGAAATCTAAGCCCGTGTCTGATTGACTGGGGAGAAACACACAGATCTGAAGCTTATGCAGAATGTTCATGAATTTTTATTTTCATGTGAATTATTGTTTTTGTACCAATTCATTTGACAACACGGGAGAATGTAGGCACAGCAATGAAAAACAAAATTATTTTAGAGAATTTGAAAATGCGATGTTTTGTTTTCTTGTGGAGGGGAGAAAAAGGCATTGCTGTCCATAGGGATCTATTTGGAAGAGAAAAGAGTTATTTATAGTTAAGTCCCCATGCAATTAAAGAATTAATGGCAGCTCCCAGTATGCAGCTGCTGCTGGGCCCTGCTGCTGAAGGGAGATTGCAGGTCCATCACACCAGTGTACCCTGACTTCGTGGGAGTTATCAGTCTGGCAGCATGAGCCTTGACATCAGTGGTAAGAGTCGGTGTAACTGGTGCTATATGTGGCCCCCTGCATTAAATGCTGTATCCACCTAACCTTCACCTGTCAGGCCAGCCACAGAAGCAGAAATGGAACCGGTTTACTTTTCCATTAAGAGCTGACACTGGAACAGGGCTTTAAATGAGTGTAAGTCACATTTCCAGAATCTTCACATCCTTTCTCCTGGAGATTGGTATAAAAATGGAATAGCATAATAAAGTTGGGGTGTGGTCCTGAGAACTGAAAACTGAGAACTGTCCTTTGCCTCTAAAGAAAAAATTGATCTGACTTCAGTGAGTGATTTATGTCCCTCTTCCTCCATAGTCAATGACCTGGGAATGACCTAGACTATTCCCTGGCCACCTTCTCATGAATCAGCTGCACTTCTCCCTCCGCAAAACCCACCCCCATCACTAGAGCATCCTTACTGAGATCTCCGAGTATGCATACCCAAATAGTGTGATGTGTAGGTTTTGTATCCTTCTGTAAGAGAACCAGTTATTGAAAATATATTGCATGAAATCCACAGGAAACATGGACTTATTCCTCTTGGTGCTTATGGCATCTCCTATACCCCCAAGACCCCTTCTTGGGCTTCCTTGGAGGAAGCTATTGAGCCTGCAGAGCCCTCCGTGCAGGACTTCGCAGAGGACCACCACTGGTGTCCCTGGCACTGTGCTCACGCAAAGGCACAAAACCAACAGGCTGATGAATAGAGCTTTGCTGCTTTAATCCCACGTTTCAGAAGGGATTACGAACAGGCCAAACACTTTTCCCCTCTGGAACACAAATAGCCTGTAATTGTTGTTGTTCATCTTTCTTTGCCAAGCAGTGTTGTGCAAGGCACTGAAAGACAGTTCTGCTTGATGCTGTTGACTATTTTGGCCCTGATTCAACAAAGCAGCTCACACTTCCAGTTTATTCATTGTCAAGAATGGATTTAATTATTGCTAAGTAAAAGAAAGCGGTGAGAAGATGTGATATCTGGGTGACCAGATGAAAGGATCATTTAGAAGTTAGTGTTCCTTGCTTTACTTCTTGTTTTCTTCACAACACATTGCTCCCTGGTGCCCAGTTACTAGCTTGGACATGTATAGTGTGCCCCCTCCAGGTACTTTACATGCCTGAGTGTGTTCCAACAGCTCTGAAGTGAACGACCCATATTTTAAGGCTTGTACAGACTGCGTGCAGGGAGGGGGTGGCCACTCTGGTGGTCCTTGCAGGTTTCTTGTGCCTTCTCCATCCCTTGAACATACATGTTGTCTGAGAGGTACAGCCTTGCTTCTGCCACAGCCACCTTTTTCAAATGTGGCATTTCTTCATGCTATGGTGGAATTAACACAGGGTGATTGGCAGGCCTTCCTGTCACAGCTTTGTCCCTTATCAAGGGATTTCCTGAGGTTCCTCTTTCTCCTAAATCTCCATCTAACATGATATCTCAGTTACTCTGTAAGTTTATTTGGGCCTTTGGTTCCTAAAGTTATGACAAGCATTCTCTTCCTTTTGGTCTGAGGGTAATGGGTAATGGTCATTTTGGCAGTCAGTGATCAGAACCCTGTCACTACAGATACCTGAGCTGTCATCATGCATGGCCCAAGTGAGATTCCTATTCATTTGATTCAGTCCTCATAAATAATGACTTCATTCTCGAACTTCACTGGAAGATAGTTTAACTTTTCCATCTGCATCCATTTCTGATTATAAGCTAGCTAATGTGGTGTTGTTTCATCAAGCTGTATGACCATATGAGTATATGTGCCTCAGGGGCATATATGATGAAATCTAAATGCATCTGATGAAAGGCATGACAGAATGAATGTAGTGCTGGTTACTGGTGGGGAGGGCTGTTTTGGTTTTGACTTCTTGAAGTGTGAGACCATAGCACTGGCTTCAGACCAGTTATCCAGTTATCCGTCATCACTGGTGGCCAAAAGCAGAGGCCAAGGGAAGAATATAAAACAAGGCAAGCAAAGCTGGTAATCCTTACAACCCCTTTTCGTATAGTCTCCCAGCCTCCAACCATTTGCAGCTCAGGGGCTTCTTCAATATAATTTCTACGTATTTAGTAATCCTCAACAGACTACTTGGCCACAAGTTTGTTCAGTCTTTCAGCATGTGTATATTTTTCATGTTCACACTACCTGATGGCAAGGAGGTCCCTAACTGAGCTCTGTGCCACATGGAGCACCACCACCTTTTCTTTATTCCACATCTGCCCCCATCAGCTTCGCTGCCACCTGCCTTCCTGCCTTGGAGGAGTCATGGAGCGGCCAAACCCCTGTGTCTCATGCTGGTGTAGACCCCGCTCACATCACCCCTAGCACTCCTATTCCAGACTGAACAGAGTTCCAAGTCACTCTGTCATTCTAGCATGGGAGCTGAGGAGCTATTTTGATCACATTTTCAGGTGACACAGAGACTCAGATGTCTTGTGGCATAAGGAAGCCATTAATTATCTACATTGGAACATCTGTTTACCAACAGTAAATTGGAAAGTTTACATTCTTAGATATTTTAATAATAGAAAGGGGGTTTTTGTTTTATTATTATTATCATCACCATCATTTTTATTATTATTATCTCCTAGTTTTGCTGGGTTTATGACTGCACTGCTGTAGTAGACTTCCCCTGGCACACACTTCAGTCACAGTCAGGAACAGGACATTGGGCTACGTGGTCTGACCCTGTGTTACAGTTCTTATGTAAGATTATATGTGAATATATGGGTACAAATAATTTCCTATGGTATCATTTCCAACCTGAACACTTTTCAAAATAGCATTCTAATGAATACTTTACTATCTATATACTCTGTACATCAAAAGACAGGCTTCTCTCACTGAAACCTAAACATAAACACTGAACAACTAACAGTAGGCCATACTAGCCTTGTTACCAAAACCAAGATTCTTGCCTAGAATATTTATCATTAACCATGATTAAAATCTCAGCTACAGTTTCACACTAATGTTGAAGCACACTAATTATTTGTTCATGTTACTTTACAGGGGGAAAAACCTGTAGCCCATTGAGCCAATCTATTTATTTATAGTGACCTCAGAGGCCTTGGCTAAATCATTAATTGCAAACAAAAAAAGGCTCTACCATGTAATCCAGTTTTGTAAGAGCAGATCAGTGTAGCAAGATTTAGTTAGTGTTATATAAGTTATTTCCTAAAGTTTAGAGCTAAGGACAGCATGAAATGTTAATTGGTATTCATGTTCAGAATTGAAATTTAATTCAAATGCATTTAGGTCTTTCTATATTGGCTTTTTGCTAATGTTTGTGTTTGGGGAGAGATACACATTAGAATGTATGGACATTGGATGCTGTTTATGTAGTTTTTAATTTTGCTGTCTGACTCAAAGCGCTTTAAAAGGGCCTTCACAGCCAAACAGTGAACACTCAGCACTTTTTCTAAAGGGCTGCACTTTGTTTAGCCTGAAAAGGCAAAGCTGCGTTACTCAGAAAACAAAGGCATCATAAGAGTGAAGCTCGTAAAAATAAAATTAAAAGTTACACTAAAGCTAAAGAAAGACTTCAGAGCTTCCTCCCCTTCTGCCTTGCACTGTTGCTAGAAAGTCTGTGATGTAATTTGGTTTTTTTTTCTTGGGACTCTTAATATTTTGCTGCACCGGGCAGCTTTTGGAAGATGAGTTCTTCCAAGCGTTATATTTCTCTTTTAATAGAATGAAGTTCCTGAAGCTAAGAAAGAGGAATCTTTGCTAGACCTGGACTTCGATCCGTTCAAGCCAGAAGTTGTATCAACAGGAGTTACTCATTCACCCATGTCTCAGGTATTTCTTTGCCTTGAGGTAGGTGAAGCATATAAATGCAACCTGCTGTTTGGTAGCAAAGATTTGCCTCATGTACTGATGAGCAGTGTATCTGCAGTGTCTGAAAAAATTGATCTTCCTGAGCAGGTTGTCAGCCATCTTATCTTTCCCCTTCAGTAACCCTGTAGTTGATGCTGTACTAGAAGGAGAGGAAATTGTCAAGTGGTAAAATGAGATGTCCAGTGGTTGCTGCTGCCTTGGCATGCTGTTATTTTCCATCTTTAGAATAACTCTTAGTGCCAACATTGTAATTCTCCAGCACCTGTTTTTCTGACAATTTTTCTGACCTGGCTTTGACTCTTCATGTCTGGAAAGATGCCTTAGGGGACCTAGGTTTCATGGAGTCAGCATGAGATTGCTTTGCTGTGACGGAGTTTCTGTACCAAGCAGGGGATATGATCTGAGTGGTTTTGCTTTTTAAATTGATTTTAGGCCTACCTCAAGGAAAATGAGAGGATGGAGTAGGATGTTTCCTTGCAGGATGTTGTGTTAAAGAGATTCTGCATTCGACGGTAATATTTGCCATGGTAGTTTCTTGCAGCAATACGAAAACAAGAAGAAAAGGAAAAAAAAAAGCTGATATATCAAATTGCTGATTTTCATTGACTTGCCGTAGGGAACCTGCTCTTTTAAGATCCAGAACTCGCCCTCACTACCCATAGGGCTGACAGTACAGTAAGGAGTTCTCCTGGCCAGCAGAGCTGGAACTCTATCTTGTACACAGAGAAGGAAACAATATTAACACACTGTTAGCAAAATCTTTTATCCCTGTGGCTATCGCTAACCTGGCTTGAACTGTGAGACATGAGAGGACTTGTCAGCTGCTCAGGAATGCAACAGTGGGAAAGGAGTGAGAAGACAAGAAGCTTTAAGGCTGAGATAGTCCTGGTTCTCTGCTGTTCTCTTCCTCAGTGAATTAATTTCCTATTTGGTGTGCAGTCCTGGTTATATAATGAGATCTGTAGTCATCTCTGATGGGTTATGCACTGTCAGATAAACAGTGTATTGTCAGCACTCTGTACGTTAGATGAAATTTAAGTAATTATAGCACAGGCTTTGTGCATCTTACTTATTATTTTTCTTGCTCCCTTTAAACAGGGAAGGGGAAAGAAATTCCTTGACATTCAGTATGACAGAAAACTCTAGCTGCGACTTCACTAACTCCACACTTTCAGCTTGCCTTATAATAACATTGATTAGAGCAGTGGGATCATTAAACATCTAACTTTTGTGACAGAGCACGTTTGTCCTGCCATCATATTGTACAGATTGTAGAAGAGTTTATTACTTTAGTGGAAAAGAGCTGGTTTAGATTTGACTGTACCATGAAATACGGAATATCATTCAGTGTAGAAAAGCACGTGTATTTTTTCATCTAAGTGCATAAGAAGCATTCACTGAGCGCCTTCAGTCTCTCCTCTCCTCTCCTTTCATCTTTCCTCCCAACATATATATATATGAGAAAGGATGGTCCACTTCCAAAAGAGCACGTGGATGAGTCAGAGCACTGTGGTTTTAGAAGAAGGGAAGATAAGCCTGCAGTCTGGGTCTCGGTCCCACTGGATGTGGCATTGCTATGGCAGCACAGACAGAATGAAGTCACTGGTCACAGTCTTTGGAGAGTCCTGTGCTACTTTGCAGGGAGATTAAGAAGAGAGCCTTAAGTGGTCTTTCTACATGCATATATTTTTTGCCTCAGTCATGGATATTTTCCCTTCAGCAAATTGTGCTGAAGCAGTGATGTGAAGACAGGAGTGTGTGCCCTGATGCCTCAGGAGGCCAGGCATGACTTCCCTATTGATCGTTTAATTAATTACCTCCCTTCACTGCTCTGCCAGGGTGATCAGATCACAGTATGTGAACCCCAGTCTGCCCTTCCTCCCTTGATTTTCTGTTTCTATGACTGCTTCAGAAGTGGCCTTTATAAACATGCCTAGCCCTTGCCTCCATTTGCTAGCTGTGGTCTTTCTCACCCTTCCCTCAGTATGTTCCTTCCCCCTCATACTCAAAGCCTCATCAGCAATGAAAGGAAAATGAAAAATGAGCAATCTCTCCTTCCATGGAAGTCTGTAGAACATCTAGAGTCTGCACCAGTTAGTGCTATAAGAAGAGACCTATCATTTTTCCTTAAAACTTGAATGTTCAGCTAATAATGTTACAGCAGGGTAAGCTGGTTCACTTGTGAATTACATCCACTGAAGAAGCACGTACCTGGACTGTTGATGTTATTTGCTGTAAATCTGAGTAGTTACTACTGTGTCTTTTATTTGTGAAAGCAGTTGTTCAGAGGGCCATTCTGTCCCTATGAAATAAGAAGCAGGCAAGAAGCTAAATGCAGCAATCCTTTCTCTTAGGCAAATGTTAGACGTCGCATTTAACATTTGCAAATATTTCAGGAACAGTTTTACATTTTACTTTATGAATGTCTTCAGTGCTTCTTTTTCATGGACTTTAACCTAGGTGTGAATATAGCAGATATGTTTTGAAGCATCTCAGACAGCTCAGAGTTCCTTCTCCTGTGGGAGGGACTGTTAATATTTGGCATGAAGTCTGCTTCTTTTCTTTCATCTGTCCATTCAGCTCTTGCTGAGAGGTCGCTAACATTTATTACTTAATGGAAGCATTCGTCAACTTCATTGTTTTCTTTCCCAAAAAGCATGCCATTTTACTTCACGGTGTCAGAGTTATGAGAAAACCCAATTGCTCTCAGTGGATAGCTGGACTATTTTTTATCTGGCTAAAAATCTGACCCATGTAAGCCCTTTAAAGCTTACACTTTGCTGAGACTCCTATACCTGTTGAAAGTCATTCAGTCACCAGCTCAGAATCTGGCTGTTACTCAAGCACGTGGCCATATGAGTTTGCTGGAAAGCAACAACTGGATTGAAGTGGAAAATGCCACAATCCATCACCTACTGCCCATCCCATGTGACCAAAAAGCATATTATGCAGATATTTGCACACACAAATGCACACACACGTGTGCTAATATATAAAATATGTATGTATCATAAATATGCATATAACTAATTTCTCTCTTTTTAGTTAATGCACACCATTACATAGCATGTTGAACATACAGTATATGAACAGTATTTTTCTAAAGCCTCTTTTTTCTACTCCTTTTTTCAGACATTACCATGGGATCTATGGACGGTAAGCCTGACATTTGTCATTGCAAACTGGGATATTTCTGTGCCTCTGATTTTGTTACACCCTGAACTCCGTTTTATAATGTTTTTACCAAAAGTCGAGATAAAGAATTTACAGACTGTCACAAACACTTTTGAATATATGAAGCCACTGGGGATCTTTTAAAACACACACCAACAAAAAATAATCCATGTTGCTTAGCCTGCAAAATCAAAATGATGTCAGAAATCTAGGCTAATGAGATTCACAATCATTATAGCTAAGGGTGTGTTGCTTTTATTCTCATGCCTGGATTACAGCTATTAGGGGGTAGGAATGGATGCTAGTCACCTGTTTTAATTATCTGAGGGTGTAGTTCCTCAGGACTTTAACACAATGGACAACCATTTTCTAAATATTGAAAAGTGAAGAGAGAATTTAACTTGTCTTTGTGGGCATACAGTGAACTGGAGTTATTCATAAAAGAAGCTGCTACTTCAGGAAACTGCATGAATCCTTCCTTCTTCCTCCTGGTGCCAGATCAGATACAATGATCTGCAGGAAGAAAACAACTAATTTTTGTGAGCTTTCTTTTGACTTTATGTCATGGAGATAGCTGGGTTGACTTGATGTGGAGCCTGATATACCCATTTTTGGCCTTTTGCAGCTTCAGCCAGCACAGAAATCTGTAGATGCTTCTCATGCATTCAGATTTGCAACACTGTTTTGTGAACACATGGTGTATATGATGTGTATTAAATGCTTATCTTTTTCTATGGGGAAAGGTTAAATAAAGCCTGAAAAAACAGTCACATATGTAGGCTAGCCAAAATTTCAAGGCTGCCAATATCTAGACCAGCTAAAATAACCCAGAAATGTTTCTAATTTATTGTTACAAACTTATATTAAATAGCTTTATCAATGTCTTCCTTGCACACAGTTTTATTTATAGCTGGTTAATACTATATATGTATTCTGTATTATAATTATTTTTCTCTTTAGTTTAAAAAAAAAGCAAGTAGTGAGCTTCGCAGCTAAATGTTTGAAATTAGGAATACACAGCCTTTTACTGAGTTTATTTTAATAAGTTGAGTGCGGAGTAGTTGTTGATCTTCCTTGCAGCATTTGTATCTGTTCAAAGCGGCAGTGTAGGCAGCAGTCTTTGTGACTTGATGCCTTACCCTGCATGGATGTAAATGCCTCTGCGTGGTGCAGGGTGATGGAGAATCAGAGCTGCACACTCAGAGCCCTCTGCACTGCCTGAATGATGCGGCGATGCCTCGGTGTAGATACAAGTAAGCTCCGCTGCCACTTGGGTTGCTTCCTTCCTTGTCTCACAGGGCAACCCCTCTTTTCAATTGAGATGTAATAGAGTATCTGTGATAAAAATGTCAGTGGCCCACAGAGGAAAGCAAGGTCTGAGGAATGTTCAACGTACATGTAGGACTTCTTTTATAATGTAATCCAGAGGCTGGAACTGTGGCTTAAATTCAGGGGGGTGTGGTTAGTCTTCAGCAGAGTGGCAGGAGAGGACCTGCTGCTTCTTCCCCATGCCAGTTTGGTAACTGCTGCTGGTTAGAGAACTGCTAATTAAAGAACTGCTGCTGTAAGAGAGTACATCATGTTCCTATTTTCTGTGGTTTATATGATGATTTTCTTCTATACAGACAAGCAGCGAGTTGGTCCAGCCGGTAAGCAAACCTCCCCTCAAAACCGCAACCACTCTAGAGACATGCTTTAATCACTGTCATGTAATATATAGTTTTCTGATTTTGTCTTATCAGTGCTGCTCTTTTACATTGCAATCTACTGCCTCCAAATGTTGCAAACCACATAGCTTTTCCTTAAATGGCTTAATTTAGTCACTTTCATTCTTTAAATTAAAATTGCTCTAGTAAAATATAAATTTTTATGTTTTCTCATCAAGTCTTCCTTTATCTTTTTCATCTTGTGTTTTTTCTTTGCTTTTCTGTCTGCTTAAAGCCTGATTCTTCAAAAAGTCTTTCCCTGTGTAACCTGGTCATGGAGGAAGCCCCAAACAGTGGGTCATCAGAAGATATTAACAGATCTCAAACTAATCTAGGTTCACTCAACTGGGGCCTAGATGTTAGCGCACCCAGTGTCAGCCAGGAAATTACTGCAGGTGGTTCTTTGTTTTTCCCTGGGGCAGAGCAAACCTCAAGCAAATCCATGGGTATTCTGCCTGCTAGTGTTTGGCCTGCTGTAGGTGATGCTGCACTAGGGTCAGCTTCTGTAAACAAAAGCCAGAGGACTTCACTGGAGGACCAGCTGGATGCCAAAAACGTCCCATGGGAAGATGTGGTGACCAATCAGCCTTTAGAGAACATAACCAGTTTTGAGACACCCGTCCTGGGAACCGATAGCTTGTTAGATGAACCCCTCCCATGTGATGTGCAAAAGGCAGAAGCAGAGCGGGAGGAAGAAGAGTGTGCAGGTGCCAAACCAAGTGAAAAGGTAGAGACCAGAGCTGTTAACTACAAAGAGGTAGAAGGTACAGAGGAACTGGAAGAGCAAGGTTGTGAAACCAAAGAAAACAGTGAGGCAGAACTTGACAAGGGTTTAGCAAAATCAGACCTTGACATTTTAGTCAGCACAGAGGTAGATAATGTATATGAGTTGGAAGATAATGATGGGGACACTGGGAGAGCTAGTGGTGCTAACCAGGAAAACGCTAGGGAAGAAGAATTTGAAGGGGTAAATGTTATTGAGGAGGCAGATGGAGAAATACCGTTGTTGAGCACAGGGCAGGAAGGTGGGGACAAAATAGTAGTGGACAACTGTAAAACTAAAGAAAACACTGGTGCTGAACCTGAAAGAGTCTTTGGTATCTGGGATCAGGACCATGAAAGGACATTTGAAGATGGTTTAGACCAAACTGACAGTGGTACTGGAGAGAGTACTTCCATGGAGTGTGTAAACATGACGGCATGTGTTGACCTAGAGGTAACTGGCCACACTGAAAAGGACCCTACAAATACTGGAGATGTTCTGTGTGATGCTGAATTATTCAGTGCAGAGGAGTCTGGTAAAGGAACTGAAGACAATAGCATCAACCTCCTCCCAAATGGCAGTGCTGCTGCTGAAGGTCAAGCTGCTGTAGAAAAAGAGTGGGCACTGCTGCCCGAGACAGCTGATGTTGCTAGCACAAGCTGCGGTGATCCTTGCCTAGATAATGCAGAAGACCAAGTGACAGGTAGGGCAGCAGCAGCAGTCACTGAAGAGCATCCTAGTAGCACTGGTGTTCCTGAAGCCTTGGAAACAGACCCCTGGCTGGCAAACTGGGACCCAACAGTTACTAATGATTCCTGGGGGTTTTCTAATCTGTCAGATGGTCAAGCCAATGGACTGGATAATTGGCCCTTTTTCCCCAAGCAGCAAGACTCAGGGGAAGTTAACATGGAAAATGTTTGGTTAGGTGTTAGTGATAAATGGTCTACCCAAGACCTGGGAGGGCCTGATAACAGCTGGGGAGAAGTAGGTGCGAGCACAAGCAATAAAAGTCAGGAGGCACCAGTAAAACAAGGCTTGCCTGAGGAGCAGGCAGGCATTAGCAATCCTGGACCGAGCAAGGAGATAGCTAGACCCTTGGCTCTGTTTCAAATGGGAAATTCCAGAAATGCTAGCACCGAGAGTTCAACTAGTCCTAAAGACAATGAGACCAACAACTCAGATTTATCTGAAGATGAAATTGCTAACCGGAGATATGGATTGTTGTACCAGGAAATTGAGGCTGATAAAGAAGAGGTACCTACCCCAGTGTGTAGCCTAGTCTAGACAAAGAGTTCCTTAGGCCATGCATAACCTTGTCGTTTAAAACCAATCCGTTTGTGTGTTTCCCGCTGCCCCTCCTAAGCCCGTGCTATTGTGTTTTTTTGGAAAATTGCCATGCAACTGTTCATAGTGTGGTGCCCTTCAGCCATGTAATGAAGCAGGCTGACAAAAATGCATTTCAAAACGGTGAATGAAGCTTTGAACTGTGAAGGCACGTTGTGTCTCGCAGGTTTTGTGTTTTATATGTATAACTTTAACTGCACCTAGTCTTTTTTATTATTGTTACTTTATAAAAATACTTAAGTTACTCTGCTTTTTCTTTTTGTTTTCTTTAAGCCTGTGACACCTGTTATCAAATAGCACTGTCGTCAAATTTCTTGCTGCCTTACCCTTCATTTTATTATTTTTTTCTTTTTATTTTTTTTTTTTAATGTCTGGCCTACATTTTTATTTTGCAAATAAAAATGTTTTGACTCATGTTCTGGTTTAGTAAACAAAAGGTAATTTGTTCTGATCTTCACTTCTACTTAGGCATCCAGCACAGCATTTAATGGATTTGCACAGGTAAGAAATAAACATGTTTTGAGATTATTGTTTTTTCTGTGCTGTTAGGAAGGGATTAGGACTGGCTGTACAATTTCAGGAAATCTGGTCTACAGACGAGCTGCACAGCAGTGGCATACTGACTCAAATCCAGACCTTGTCTGTTCTCAAAAATTATTCCTAGATGTTACTAGAATGATGCTAATACTCTTGGTACTCTTGGCCTGACTAAATTTAATAGCAAAAATTTGACTAATTTAGTGGGACTGATTTTTTTCCTCCTAATAGGACTGGTTTGGAGTTTTTATTGTGCAATTTTGTGGATTTTTCTCACAATCCCAAAATCCTAGAAGCATGGTTTCCTCAGTTTCATGTACTTTCAGTACCTCTGTGTGTGTATAAAATGAGTTTTAATTGTTTCTGCTTCTTTATTTTCTTTTAAGATGTATTTTAATCTGAAGGTTAAACCTAAATTATTTCTTTGCTGCTGTGCTGACGGTGAGACTCTCTGTTAGGCATCGCAGAGATGCAACGCATGAAGATACCATGCTTATGCTTTCAAATTCCAGGGCTGTGCCAAGAAATTTCAGGTGGATAACACGGGGCCTCATTAATTTCCAGCATCCTTTTAGAGACTGGCTCATGCACAGCACACCCTGTACATCATTTTTTAAAAGCGCCCAAAAAGGCTGAGCTTATACAAGTATGGAAATGAGTCTTCCAGGATGTTTAAATTAATAAAGGATCCAGAAGGAAGGGGCAAAGCACAAGGCTACCGACCCTAATAATAATGTTTGCCCTGAGGAAATCAAAATTTGATGCCCCCACTGCAGTAGGAAGAGAATTTAGCCCATCAGTATTTTGGAGATTAATTGGTTCTGAATGAGTAAGATGTTGGAAAACATCTCAATTTTTGTACCTTCTTAATGCAGGTAAAATTTTGTATCTGTAATTGCTATAGTTACTATTCAAATAAAAGCCCAGAATCAAGAGGATGTGAAAGTAGCTTAGAGCTGGTGCACTCCCCAGGCACGGGCACGGGTAGTCTGCAATAAAGATTCTGAGTTTCACAGCTTAGAAGTACATGGTGCCTGAAGCAAAGTCCTTGCAATTCACATGTATTTAATGACGGGTTTTTCACTGCCTTTAATAACATTGCACGGTTTAGAAGCATAGAATATATAATTGAAAAAGGAATGTCTTTAATATTAATAGTGCTTAACTAATAATTATTATTAATACCTATTTAGATTATCTATTTGTCAGCTTATTCTATGTGAATTTATTTATGACTTTACCTGAATAAACCATTAAAAAAATCAGGTCTTTGATAGGCGCCTGCAAATATCCCGTCTCAAATATTTTTGCGTCATTGTTTTTCATTTCTATATCTAGGATACCTCTGCATTTACAGTGCAGTCAAATGAGAATGTGACAGAGCCTTTGGTAAGTGGTGGCTGTTGCCTCTTTTCTTTTGCTGCCTTTTTAAATGCCTTGTAAAAAAATGGCACCATTTTTCCTTTGTGCAAAGATATTTTCTCCTTTTTTGTGTTTTCCATCCTCTAAATCACAGAACCTTAACCTGCAAGAGTTAGTGGGTGATACCGCTGTAGTTGTAAATCTTTACTCACTGACACAGTCTTTCACAAGGATAGCCCAGAAAAAAAAGGAAAACCAGGTTATTCTAGGATATGTTTACTTTTCAAAGGTGTAGTCACAGTTTGTTCATTTATTGCATTTAGGAAATTACAAGAATTGGTACTATGTACAGAAAGCAGGTGATAATATATGATGGCTGTTTAACTATCTCTAATATTGCTGCAGTTTTACCCACTCTCCACATACTAATAATAAGGGTGGAGAATCTTTTTGGAAGTGACCATCTTGGGTGGCTTCTTAGTTTCTCTTGCAGCCTTTGGTTAGCCTGGAGTAAGGATGTGGAATAGCAGCATTGCTGGGTGAGTGCTGTAGCTACTTAACAGCAGCAGATTGATACTCAATATCATTTAATGTGGCTTTTGTATAATGTCTCTGGTGGTGCTTGTGTTCATAACGGTTACTGAATACGGTGAGAGTATTCTCACTTGTAGCTGAAACGTGGTAACTAGTCTGAAGACTGCTTGTCCACAAGTGACTTGAAGCACATCAGTGCAGTCTGTGTTATAACATGTTACCTGTGATTTTAAGCCTAAGAAAGTTTCTTCCAGCGTTAAACCTCAGGAAACTCATTAGTCATCTTACCTGGGATAAATCTACTTTGTGTTTCTCATTTCAGTCCTATTTCTTCTTTGGAAAATTCCCTAGAGGTGGCATTAATACACTACACAGAGAGATTTCTGCACAGCATGGTATAATATAATGAATGTTTGTTTGTGCTGTGCCAGATCCTGAAGGTCTTGCTTAGGCAGACTTCTGTGTACCTCATTAAAAATCAGTCTGCTTAAGGAATATGTGAGAAAAGAAGTGAGAGGCTATGGGTTTTTTCCTGAAAAATATCATCAGGAGAAGATTTTAGTATCTTTAAGAATTTCATGGAAGCTGTCTCTTCATCACAGGAGACCTTCTAGCCAGCTGCCTGTTATCATCTGCAAAGCAGCTAAATAGCTTTTCAGTTTCATATTATGCTGTTCATGTAATTTGTTCATGGCAAATTAATCTACTGGGGTTATTTTATCTGGTTGAGTCAGCCATCTTTATAAATGGAATATGCTGAGTACAGCTTGAAGCTCTCCCCTTGTATGCGGGTGTATTTGCAAAGTGATATCTTCGTTGGAGATCGCACTTTTGCTGGGAGCTATTTTGCCATGGGACTAAACGTGTTGCAGGGCTGGCGACATTTGCTAGATCCTCTTGCTAAAAAACAAGCTTAGGCCAGAATTGAAAAGGGTGGAAATCCCAATAGTGGGTTGACAAATGGATGCCTTGTCAGTGACTGAGAGCTCAAGAGGGAATGCGTTTTAATAAGAAACCAGGGGTGTTTTTCATACTGCCAGAATTCAAGCAGTCAGTGGTTGCCCTTGTGCATATAAAACTTGTTGAGTCTCTGCTAATTGCTTCTTACCTTCACTCGAGAAGGGACTACATTGTATTTTGGAGAAGGGACTATACTGTATTTTGAAAAACTCATATTTGAAGCCCAGGGTTGGGACACGAGAGTGCCAGTTTCAACTCCTGGCCTTGCCATGACTTTCTGGAGCATTTCTGAGGAACCTGAGTGCCTTCCCCCAACTTCCATTGCCCCTTTCGGTAACTCAGGAAGCTGATGCTTTCTTTCCTTGCAAGGGAGGGATGTAGGACTGGCTCGGTTTACATATAGAACATTGGGGATGAAAATGCCCTTTAGATGCTGTAAGGCCAAGCACTGATGTCCTTTCCCTGGCAAAGCCCAGCAAGATTGAGCCTGAAGCAGTACTGTGCCAGGCACAGTTCCCATTCCCCTCCTCCCTCCCCATTATCATGTGCTCCTCAACAATTTTTCCACTGTCTACTTAAAAATCAATAAAACAAAAGACTGAGGCTGAAGAAGCTCCACCTGGGGAACCCAAGGTCGAGGAAACCCCTGCTGCTGCTGTTGCAGAAAAGGAGGCCATCCCTGCTGAGCCTGCCGAACCAGCAGAGCAGGCTGCGGTGAGTGACCTGTCCCCCACTGTCACCTCCCGGGCCGCATCCGAGCCACCTTTCATCATGGTCAATGTGCCTGCTGCATTTTAGCCATCCTTCCCATTCTTCACCGTCCATCCATGGCTGGTTGCCCCAGCACCTGGCTGTGTCACAGCATGCCTCTCCAGCACACGTCCTCCTTTCAGCCCTAAAATGTCATTCCTCTTACGTTTGTCATTTTAGACTGAAGTTCACCTGAGTGATTGTGGTTTCGCAGATTGTTTGATTCCAGATGAACTTCAGAAGGGGAAGGAATTGATGCCATTTTTAAATGACCTCATTAGCAGTTTTCCATTTCATTTCAAGCTGAGCTGTAAGCACTAAGCCAATGTACATCTTGTATGGTCCTTGCTAGACCATGAAAATACCAGAAAAAAAGTGATTGTGATATAAATGTCTACAAGGCTCATGATTTTAGAAACCAGCCGTGAGCTGAAGAGGGAACTCCAAGTGCCAGTTTGGAGATTTTTACATGTCAGCATTCAAGAAGCAGTGGAAGGAGAAGGAATGACAGCTCCGCAAGAAGAGCAAAGCAGGGCACTCGGTATCACTACAAATTAAGAAGTGGTCTGAGATGCTAGGCATGGGGTTTTTCTGCTGACTAGCATCCCTTTTTATAACAGGTATCCTAGTGAATATCCTTTTTATCCAACAGAGGTTCTTCTACGTACTGCTGTCAGTCTTGGAGGTGGGTGATACCTGCAGGCTAAGAAAACCTGGAGGAAAAATGCATCTGGTTTTGTAGACTGACAGTTTTCATACTTTCCTTGAGACAATAACACATATCGAAGTCTCTAATGAGTGTTTGTCACTGTTAGAACATACAGATTACTACTTTAAAACTGAACAGAAGAAGGAGTTGCTTTGTGGGTCAGTTCCTTTGCCACAGAAGCCAATGGGAGCTATGTAGCTGTGCTTTTTGACCATCGAGCATAGTTTGGTGCTGTAAGTGTTCCCAGAAGAACAAGGTTCAGCTTGCTGAACCACTCTTGGCCTTGAGTGAGTCCCTGTGTATCTTCATCTGTTAAGTAGGGATGATGATACCCAATTCATCATAAAATTAGATGTTTTTCAGTACGCATTTGATATACTGCCACATGGGAAGCGATATTAAGTAGGCTGACATAGATGCAAATTAGCTGAAGAACATGGAAGTAGCTGGCACCTATAGATGTGGCAATGCAGAACATGGACAGAAGACTTCTCAGATATGCAGCTACTGTAGCTTCTCATGGATCTGTCTCTGGAGCTGGTCTCATTTAACATCTTTATTACTGGCAATGGCTCAGACTCTATGATCCTGATGGTGACATTTATCGATGACTCCAGGTTGTGTAGTGTCATTAACTTTAGGGGATAGCATTAGGCCCATGAGCTCTACCTGGCGGGTGTTAGACCCATGCAAAATTCACGGGTAATGATACTAAGCAAACTGCCTTCAGCAGAAAGAAGGAAGAACTAGTGTTGGTATGCAAGGCTCCGGAGTACAAACAGTTTAATTCAAGACCATCTTAAAGGTGAGTTTGCCTGGGTGGTTCCAGCTGTCTGTACCATGGGATTAAAAAATGATATCCAGCATGAATGCTACAAAGAGGAAAGTTGAGCTTTAGCTGTAGCACCTGGCTAGTTATCATTCCTCCCTTACTTCCATCTTCCTAAGAGAGGAAAAACAGTTTGTTGTGGAAGGAAGGGAGGGCAGAGCCAGATGGGCTGTTCTGGAGGGCTTTGGGGGAAAGGGAAGATAATTCCTGTTTCAGTCTAACCCTTCCCGTTCTCCATGGACTCTGAGCAGCATCACAGCTATGGAGGGAAGCAGTCTCGGTGTGTTCCCCAGAACTACGTTTAGGGTTTAATTCTGATTACACTGGCATGAATTTTGAGTAGTTATTTCATTTTTTAAAAAATTCACTTTTTCTTCAGTTCCATGATACACACTGGAGCAAGTGACTTCAGGATCATCCCCTTACAACAACATAACTGAACTAAGAAAGCCCCCTGGTCTGTGAAGATCAGGCTTCTCCCCTCCTGTGTGTTTTTCTTTTCATTGATATAAATCACAGTAATAACTTGTCAACTCTGTAGTAAGGCAGACAATGAAAATGCCTGTCTGAGGCACGTCATTTTGTCAAACTCTCATCTAGTCAGAGTAAATCTGAGTTTGGAGTAAAGAAGGAGGGAGGAAAGGTGGAGAGAGGGGGGAATGGGAAATCAGTCATTGGTCTGGAGCTCTCCTCTTCAGGTGACGGAATGGCAGGGAATGATGTGAAAGAACAGATATTAATGAAGCTGAAAAGATTGTTTCATTTTGATTATGTGTAAGGATTTAATGAAGAAAGAAATTGTAAAAGAAGCTCACCATTTTTCTAAAAGGAAGCCAGCTCCTTTTTACCTTGCACTAAGACAAAGCGATGGTCTGAAGCTTGTTGCACGTCTTAAGAGCTGATGAAATGACAGGTTGTGGCTGCAGCACCACGCATCTGCTCGTCGGCCAACACGATCTTTTCAGATTATCTGTTTTGCTGCCTGACTGTCCATGAGGAGTTCTGGGTCCACGGTTTGTTGGCAGCTGCTCTAGCCGAAGCACGGGACTGCAGAGCTTTTGGGAGAGAGGCAAAGAGAAATGCAGAGCAAGAGCCAGGCAATTTAAGAGCAACCCAGGAGGGAGACCGTAGGCACTGAATAGAAGTTAAACAGTTTTTATTAGGTTTGTGCTGGGATTTTTGTTGCTTTTTGAATATGAAGTTGTAATTGCTAATTTGGGAAAATAAGCTAGAAGTGTTGATTTTAAAAATGTCTGAATTGGAGTCATTCTGCATTGGCTCTGAGGGTTTTTTATTTCAGGCAGGGCTTTCCAGGACTTGCAAAGAGGAGTTTTGAAGATTAGGATTAATGACAAGTATGATCAAAGCTAAGGAAAAGTACACTGAGTTGCAAAAGATGAAAACATGTCATTTCTCGACAGCAATTCTGCATTCATTTGCTTTGTGAGTGACAGTTTACTTCAAAAGTGGAGTTGTAAAATATTGATAGATACTTGCTTATTGGGAATCCTTTATCAAGTTCAGTAACTTCCAGTTTGGAGTGACAGCCACTAATCAGTTTAATTTTTCTGTGGTAAGTTTCCTGTCACATCCCAGTAATCCAGAAAATGTATGGCATGCATTCTGCATTATAGGAACTTTGCAGTAAATTTTCTGGTGGGGTTTTCATTTAAATTAGGGATAGGGTACTGCTTGCCACTTCGGGAGTTTTGGATTCAGTTTGCTTGCTGTTTCGTAGTCTGCCTGGAGAAGATTGCCAAGACTTCATTACAAGAGCTCATCAGAATTGCTGCCTGGTATCTCATTACGTATTTTTGGTGTGGTCCTTCAGGTCTCAAATGCCATAGAACAAATAAAGTTTTTATTAGTAGCTGCCAACAGTTGATCCTGTTCGGGGAGAAGATAAAATGTTTGGTAATTAAAAGGACAGAATGACCATGTGCACCAACAGAAGCGAAGTTAACCATGGTAAAAAGTCTTTGCATGGACTTCTGCACACCGAAACAGTTGTTTCCCTATTTCCATACCATCCCCAAAGGCATCTTTAAAATCCAAAGGATACAGTCTAAAGCATATAATGCATTAACTGCTGATTTACTTCTTTTTCAAATAACACTACCCCTCTTGCCACATAATTTTTTCACATTCAAACAAAGATGAAATGAGGACATTATAATGAAGTGAAAGCTTATGAAATCTTGTTATTTCCCTTTCTTCTTTTCCTACATGTGAGGTATAGTGCTTGGAGTTGAGAACCCTGCTCGGAGATCAGCTTTTTGACTTCCGTCACGCTCATTAGTTTGGAAAGAGCCTTCCAGTGCTTTGGGTCTGATGCCTGCCTGGACCTCTGATGTTCTCCCATTAAAGCAGTCAGACACTCAGCTAAATACTGTGGTTTTCAAAGCTGTGTATAGGCATATATGAAACTACCTCCCAATGAGCTCTTTGCAGACGCTGAGCAAGTACAGCAGAGGCCAGGGAAAAGCCTGCAGCTTAGGGGGTATCTAACTGTGGTTGAATCCCACTGTAGGTACAATAGGCGGAGCATGCCATTTGGAAGAGAAATACAGTGGTTAGACACAAAAGAGCGGTCAACTGTGTCCAAATTCTGAGTGTGCAGCTAAGTGCAGGTGCAAAGTTGGAGCATGAGGCCATTAAAAATATATGGCTCTCGCATAAGGGAAAGAACTGATATACAATAGTGTCATTCTATTGAAGTCTGCAGAAGCAGATTTTTCTCTGTTAATGGAACCAGGGTGTTACTTTACTCAGATGTTATTTCAGTCATCCTTTTTACTAGGCTTTCATGCCCTAAAACTTGTTCAGTTTATGCTGCTGTGCCTCTCTCCTCAAATCTCACTATTCACAAAATCCCAAGTTCCAGCTGATTAGGTGGAATTGATTAAAAATTTTTTTATTTAAATTTTTTTTATTTAAAAGGCCAAATGCTACTAATTTGACTAGTGCACTGTAGTCAAATTAGCTTTGGGAAGCAAGGGGAGCTCTCCTTACTTTCCCCTTTCCCACCAAAACTGTGCTTTCAGTTAGCCTGGAAAACAGTTCTCGTTTAAAAATATGTGTGTGTGTGTATGTATATGTATATATGTATATATATGTTAGATTCTTCTGCAAAGAGGCCCAAAGCTGGGCTGATGGGTTTCTTACCAGAAAATATTGCCAAGGTATTATTAAGAGAAGGCCAGAGGCTGGCATGTTCCTGACTATAAAGTGGAGGATGATGCTCATTTCTGAAGGCAATTTGGCTTGTAAATAGTGCTGATGGCAGAAATTCAGCACTTTTTAATAGTAAAAGTAGGGAAGGCATCTATCTACCGACTTGCAGTTGGACATAAGGCTTTTATGGGCAATAGAAACATTTGTATACATCTGTACAGAAAAAAAAGTAAAAAAAAAAAAAGAAAAAAGAAGAAAAATAAATGAGACTTCTGTGGGTGGCTGTGTGCATGCATGCATCGCTAGAGTAAGAAATAATATTTTGCTGTTGATATTTGTTTTTTCTACCGAAGACCCTCTATGGTCTCCTCAAACTTAGTATAAAATCAAGGACTCCAAGGGAGAGTTTTGGTAGCTTCAAAAAGAAAAAAAAAAAGAAGAATTAATCATTTTTAAAAAGGTTATATAACACTGTAATTTTAACGGGATAAAGCTGTGAGGTTTCTATGGTAATGCCACTGTCAGCAGCTGCCTTGCCTTGACATCTGGACATGTTTGGGGCTTATGAGGTGACTGCAGGCAATACTAGAAGATTAGATTAGAAAAAACCATGAGTGATATGAAGTTTGGATATAACTCAGCATCCTTTTATTAAAAAAAAAGAAACATGCAACCATTTCAGCTGAAACTTGCAGAAATTTTGGAGTGACAGTTGTGGGCGTGTGAAGGCAGTTAGCTGGAGCCTGAGTACTGGAGGTCTCCTAATTTCTGATTGCTAAAGTGGAAGGTCCAAGCTGCCATGCCCTCCCATAGGTTTGCCTAACTTGTCTTAACAGCTCTTCTGAAAAATCTGACCTATCTGTGTTTGCAAAGCAGCCTCAACATTTATTAGCAAAGTGGATTTCCATAACAGGGCTTTGATTTGCTTTTCCTCAGCAGAGCGTCTTTAGAAATAGCCTGTGTCTGCAGGGAGTCAAACCTGAACAGAAAAAAAAGGCTTCCAACTGTTCCACACCAGGCCTGAATTTTAGCGGTTTGGACTGTTGACCTTCTGTAGAAAAGGACCTAAGAGTTAGATGGCATCTGTGCTATAAACAGTACTATTTGGGGGGAGCCCATTGCCATTCAGTGCATTCAATCCCTTGAACACCTGAATGGGTGTCAGATTTGGAAAACCACTGACACATGTCTGATTTTTTAACTGTCAGGCACCTGCTGCATGTACCACTGAATATGGACCTAGAGAAAGGTGATTCTGAAAAAAAAAAAAAAAAATATTAACTTTGTGACCCATCTCTTTTGAACAGCCCCTTTAAATGTGTTGCAGTCCAACATGAGTGGAAGAAGTAAGTGGTTTAGAAAGTTTACCTTCAAACTCCCGTTGAGCTGCAGGGGCAGCAACAGGTTATAGTGGGAACAGTTTGGGTCTTGGGTGGGAGAGATCTGAACTTGCTGGAAACTGCAAGGTCAGCAGTGTTGTGGGTTGTTGCTTACTAAAACATTCTTCAAAGCTGGTGCTGTTATGAGAATACTGATAATAAGATTAAATAAAATTGCCATTAGCACTTACTGTGTAATGATGATGGCATATGTAAAAGGTTTTATTTGTTGGGTTTTAGCCTGTAACTACTTTCATCTCAGATTATATGTGGCAGCAAGAATCTTTCTGCTTGCTATATATTATCCCATTTAGTTCCAGCCATTCATTTCATTGCATCCCATACATGCCGTGCTTCCATTAAGCTTGATTAAGACCAATTTCTCTGCAGCCATTGCCTCAGCATGAGTAAGGTGATGACCATCTTTCCTCTTTATACAGGACAGTGTCGAGGCAGGGGATAAGGAGACAACTGGAGTTGCTGAGAAAGAAAGCGAGGTACATATGAACAGCCGCAAGAGCATGGTTGTGCTTTAAGACCTTCGAGAGAATCATGGCAAAAAATATATTTGTCATTTGCATGTCATCAATATGTAGGCCAATATGATGCAGCTGTGACATAGCTGTGTAGATGTAGATATATCTGTATCTGCAGTAGATACGATGCAGCTGTGACATAGCTGCGGTATCTACTCTAACACTGTGTAGATGTAGATATATCTGTATCTGCAGTATATATTGTAACACCAGAGCACCTCACATTCAATGCAGGACCTGCCTTAGAAACTGCCTGTCGCAGCAGTATTGTGTGATAAACATCTCAGGGCAGCAAACAAAGCAGCTCCGTGGTAGAAGGAGGCATAATGCTGTTTCTATTGACATTTGGAAATACGTTGCATAGATTCCCAGTAGCTTTTACACTTCCCATAAATCTGGTTGCCTAGCCTTCCTGCAAACATCATTATAAAAAGAAAAAAAAAACCCACTATGATTAATCATTAATTTTTCCTAGCACAATATGCCCTGAACTGAAACAGTTATTTGAAAATAATCATGTTACGAGTTTGTTAGCTAAAGCACAAATCCAGCATCAAGTTAGATACGGTCAAAATCAAATTACAAAGCAACTGAAAAGCGCAGTGACATACTTTAGGCTGTGCTTGTGTGGACTCGAATGATTGCATTTTGTTTATATTTCTTCAGAGGTGATAACGCTGCATACCCTGAATCCTTCTATACTAACATGAAACTACAATGTGTTCAAGCATGCACAGAGGGCAGCGCAGGAGGAATGGCTACATATTAAGTGCAGGGATAGAAGTAGGGACTGAGAAAGAGATGGTAACTCTTAGTTATTAATCACTTGGGGTTTGTATCTTGAGATGCTGACAACCTCCTTTTTTGTCGTTACCCATTTTGGTGCCACAGTGTGTACAAAAAGATCGTGAACTGGTCTCCATTCACTTTGGCTTCAGAACACGGTGTCCAGCTGTCCAAGCTTGGGTTTGTTACCCTGCTGGAAAACAGCATTAGCTCTGCTAGAGTTGAGGGTGCATCTGTGGCTCCAGAGTATCCCAGTGTCACTGGGAAGTGAGTTTGGGGCTCACTGGTGCTGTACTCCTCACCAGCGCTGCCACATCTGCGTAGAAATCAGTGGAAGTGCACTAGCAAGAATGTACAGGATGGGAGTGGTAGATCAAGGCCGGCTTGGTGCTGGCACAATGCAAGCAACTCTTGCGTTGCTTCTCTAGCAGTGGCTTGTTACTCCCAATAAATCTGGCCCAAGAAGAAACGTGCAAGGAATTCCTCACTATCCTGTGAGCACCAAGGCTAATTCTTTGAAAATCTTTCCCCTTTTTTTCTAATACCACTTGTCCTTATAAAGTTGAGGTCTTTTATCTGGCGAGTTTGACCCTGTGTTCTGCTTAAAATAGCAGTATTTCTATATGCAGAAGAGCTGCCATAAGAGATCAAGCTATTTGCTAAGCTGATATCTGGCCGCCTGTGGAGGGTGGTAACTTGGCATAACAAATTCTTCAGTGCTACCCCAAAAGTCATCCAAGGCTTTGCAAGCAATTGATGTGTTCCCTAAAGCATGTTGATTAGTTCCTCTTGACGTTATATTAGCTAGCTTAGCTGCAATTATAACCGTCATAAGAATTACCCAGTCCCTTTCTAAAGCCAGCCATGGGGCGAGATCTTTAGCTCTGGAAAACCGGCCATAGCTCAGGGAGCTCCACTGGCAGAGCCCCAGCAGCAGGCTCAGTGCCCCCCCTCCTTCTCCTCTCCCTGGGCTTGTTCTTGCTGCTGCTGCGTCTGTGGCCATGTGTTGGGCTGACAGTGACATTGAGGAGAGGAGAGGGCAGCCATGTGAATCGGCTGCATCCTAGGTAAAGAAGTATTCACTTCTGTGGCAATTGAGTCAAGTGGTTCTTCTAGCACAGCCCTCATTATACTAGATGACCCTTTCTTTGGCCCTTGTGTGGTTGGTGTAATGGGACGACTGTCCAAATTTCAATAATACTGCTAGAGGTAGCTCATTTGGCATACTATTAGACTGTCTAATATTATTGTTGACCTACAGAACAGAGATTTGTAGGATTGGTTTTCAATATGAAGTAAGGTACTACGGGTAACTATGCCTGCAAGTATCTGGCTCACCATAGCTGGGTATGAATTCAGTGGGGTGAGCCTCCCTCTTTTTTTTTTTTTTTTTTCTTTTCTGTACTAATCAAATATATTTGAGGCTGATAGTGAGGTTCATTCTGTGCTACCTCACACACATTTTTGTAAAAGCTTTTTTTAATCATCTAGCTTGCATTGATGATGATGAGGCAGTTGTGAGCTGTGGTATACATTCAGTGACTCACGGCTACCGGCTGTGAGAGCGTCACCCTTTCACTGCAGGGTATCTGGGAGCTGATTCATGTAAATTAGTATTCTCTTCCTTAGTGAAATAAAATGGGCTGTACAAATCCAATAAACAGAAAAGAACTGTTGATCTTAATCACAACAGACGGCAAAATCAATTTCTGCAGCATGCTGTTAGAAGCGCATGGTGTAAAATCAATCTGATACGCACTCTGTTCCCCCTCTTTCCTACCAGCCTCTTCCAGGGCTTTACCACTCAAGATTTATTTGAATATCTTCTTGGGTCAAGGCTGCTAAAATTGGTAATACTATGAGTGGCAGGCTTGCGTGCCTTACGAGTCACGGGAGAAGATGTCAACATCTGCCCGTGTCTTTTGATGTTACTTCTTTTTATGATAGTAAAAGAAGTCGGCAGCGTTTTCAATTTAAACTAAAGCTTCTCCAGTGATTTCTACAAAACCCGATAGTATTTGCTGCCTTCAAGGACTCCAGAAATATTTCTCTATCACATCAGTTAACAGCAGCGAATAGCAGTAGTGCTGAATATTAGATACTGCTAAAAAACAATGCCTGAAGCGTGCCCCCGAACAACTGCAGGTCGTTCAAGCTGAGTTCAGGTAGCTGAGTCAGCCTCAGCCATGGAGGAAAGATCAAACTGAGGGAACAGGGAGTATGAGGCTGCTAACTGGAGATCCAAGATATTTCTGCTAACTGTACTGGTACCTCGAAAACAATTTTTCTTCAGTGTTTTTACTTTATGATGGTGCTTTCTGCCATACGTTAAAAATTCCATATTGAATTTAATTGGATTACAAAATTAATTTTGTCATTTACCTTCCACACTCCAACCCTTAAGATAATTCTGCTGTAAGAATACATCCAATATGCTGCTGTAAGTACATACCAGTATATACCAATACAAATATTAGGGTGATACACAGATTACAGCAATAGTCTCTGCTGGATGAAGGATTCAAAACTGATCTTTACACAGGTACTTTTCCGTCCACCTTTCAAGAACTGGCACAAAACACATTAACTTTTCCACATGGACAGATCACAAATGGTTTAGTCATATCCAAACTGAATGGGCTTTTATGTATGTTTATTTTTTTCCATACCGACCTAGCTATAGATCTTTACGGTTATATTTTTTTCCGATATATGATGTAATCTGAGGATTTCTGATCTTTATCCAGCTGTAGAATATATTTGCTTGCTGATATAGCCCAATTTGCAAGTCTCTCTATTAGAAAGGAGTGTGTAATTAAGGCAGTATTTTTGGAGCCAGCCCAGGTCTAGAGGTAGGTGATAGTGGCTGGAGAAGGTTTGGAGCCTCTTCCCAAGAACAGACTCTGCTAGCAAGGTCCTGTGGACCCCTGGACAACTTGTAAGTTCCTTCTCAGCAGAAACCTGTGGTGAATTTCTTCCACCATACAGCTTGAAGGCAAGAGAAGGGAAAAATACTAGAGCCTCGGCAAACTGTTACTCCACCAGTAATACCTGAGGACTCTGCTAAATGCGCCTAGGGAGGTCTCATAAATGTCTCTCTCCCACCTGTTAATCATCTCCACTGTGCAAGCTCATCCCACGCAGTGCATTGGGGCAGGATGGCAGCCCCCAGCGCTGAAACCCCAATGAAACCACGGCCATGGGTTGGCACCACCCAGGGAGGTCGTAGAGCAGAGGCTGGTCGACGGTGTCTCCAGCAGATACCTAGAACTCTTATCCTGAAAGGTCCCTCCCTCCTGTTGTTTGTAGGGGGTACCTGCCACCGAGGGGGCTGCGGCAGCGGAAGACGGTGTAGCTGTGGCAGCGGGAGCTGGTGACGGCGCTGCTACCGCTGAGCAGGAGGGTGTTGCTGAAGGTGACAAAGCTCAGGGAGAAGAAAAGGAGGCTGACACGTCTCAGGTAACTCACCTTGGTGCGCAGGAGAGTGCGTTAGGGGAGTCAGGACAGATCCAGCAGCCCGAGAGAGGCAAGGCTGCTGCAGCTCTGTGCCCCCAGCTCCAACCAGTAACAGGGGTGAAGCTCTCCTGCGATAGCCCTGGGAGGGGCCCACACAAGGTGTCCCTTCTTCTGAGTCCTTCATTTGGGTTGTGCCTGCCTCTGTGTCCCTGTGTTCCCCTGGGCTTGAGGAAATGGGGCTTGATGGGCTGATGGCTCCTGCGATGGGCATGGGAGCAGCATGGGCAGGGTGTTGCTGGGCTTCCCCTCCTGCTGCTGTCTCTCTCTGCTCCTCTGCAGAGACGAGCTTTATCACATAACCTAACAGGGCTTTCTGGAGAATTAGGCAGAGAAAGTGATGGATTTTTCTTGTGTCCTGGCACCATGTCCTATCAATAGCATTACTTTGTTTTATGTAAATCATGGTGGTCAAGCTATGTATCTGCATCTGGCCTGCTGCCTTTCCTTCTGAGACCTCTGAGGAGCTGGGGAACAGCTACTAGAGCAGCCCCTGCAGCTGGACGGCCAGCTGCCACCTCCTGTCATTACATGCTGTATTTCTTCTGTGCACCAGAATAGGATGGTCTGGCAGAGGATCGATGAACGTTCTTTTCAGGTTGGATGCGCCAAGAAGTTTCATTACATGCTTTTTGTCCTAGGCTTCATTATAGATCTGACGTTACCTATTTAGCCTTTTTGCTTTCTCTGTTCCCAGTTACATTGCTGTAAATCAGGATAAATCCCCTCAATCACTCAAAAAAATAGGTTATGTTTCCTTTTTATCATTATTATCCTGCCAGCTTGAATTCCCAAAGAAATATAGGACAGCGACTCCTGGAACTTGTGGCTTTACCCAAACCCACCTAAAGTTAAGAGCAGGGTGGAAGAGAAAGGTCTGTTAATTTCCATGCACATTGAAAATAAAACCCAAGCTACCTAGAGAGCATTTTTATTATTTACTGCAATAATTTGTGGTAATACAGAAAGTAGGCTTAGGAGGACTAAGGGGAACAGTGAAAATAGGGAAGCGATTACTCCTTTACATTCTTGCACAAGTACTGTTTTCTGTCTTAATGTAAGAATCCACTGTGGAGAAGAAAGAAATCCCCATTCCCATAATTGCCCTGTGCAATGAACAAATAATTGTGTTTTCCTGCTTGAAAAAAAAAAAACCTAACTACTCTTACGGTGCTTTTGTGGTTTGATTTTCCCCCCCCAGGAAAAGGTCAGCAGCATCCCTTCAGTAGTAATAGAGCCAGCATCAAACAATGAGGGGGAGGGAGAAGAACATGAAGTCGTCATGAACGAGTCCAAAGATGCTGCAGCAGAGATGGGCACTCAGGGCACTGACGCTTCTCCCAGTGAAACTTCCCAAGTTGGAACTGAGCAGAAGCCCACTGAAGAAACGCCAGCTGCACCTTCTCAGGATCAGCCTGTTCCAGCAGAAGATGCAGCTTCTGCAATGCCACCTGGCTTTCTCTTTAAGGTCTGCTGCTTCATTCTTCTTTTAGACATCCCTTTCAGATCTAGTTTCTGCAGATGTGTCCATCTGCGCAGGCAGCGTGATGATTTCTTGAGGCCAAAGGACGCTCAGTTTAACAGCCCCACATACGCACACACAAATACAAACAAACACAACTTCAACGTTGTGTTGTTGCTTCACACGTGAAGTCTGAGAAGATACATTTTCTGCACACTGTTGTTACTGTGCATGTCCTTATGTAGCTGTAAGACTCACTGAAGTACAAGAACGCTTTCATCTCACCAAATTACTACTGGCAATGAATATATTCAGTAAAGTGCACTGCCACAGAGTTAGTCAGCAATATTGTATGATATATGCTAATGATATATCTGATAGACTAACAATATATTTGATCTTTAGGGTCCCTTCCAACCCAAACCATTCTATGATTCTCTGATTCTATGACTATTAAAAAAATGGCATTTTTTCTGGCCTGAAAATCTATAGTGGAAGTTTTGGTTCTATTGAAACCCATGGAGCTTCTACAATTCACGGTAATGAAGCTAAAATGTCATTCTGTGACTTTAGTAATATCATAGTTATAAACTGTTAGGATAATCAAACAGAAAAGTTTAATGAGGTGTTAAGAGAAATTCTCTCCTTGGCTGGCAAGACCCACAGGGTTTCCTGGTTCACAGGATTCTTTGATAATGCTTCTCACTTCAGAATCACTGAGCAGCAGCAAAGCTCCTTGAGGATGGATGAAATTTACATGCTTCCTATTATAATTTGCATAGTTCAGACTAATTAGTCCCCTAGCACTCCATAAACATGCCATTCTTCTTGGTCTGTTCTCATTGCTTAATATTTTCAGCAAACTTTGAGAGTAATGGTAAGGTGAGGGTGAACAGTAGCATGGAACTCTGACTCGGACATGCTGACATAGTTCATCTTTTGTTTTGCCTCACACTCTCTGGGGTCAGATGAAAATAAGGAGAAGCAGAATATATGACAGCCATCTGGTTCTTAATGCCATTTTCTTTCATTATTGCAGAGTTTTCATGGAACTGGCTGTGCTTGGAGAAAATTAAAATAGTGTATCTCTTAAGGAGGTAGAACCATTTAGTTAAAATGGTCTGTTCACAACAACGTGCTGATCCTGCCAATATTTTAATAATTCGTCCCTTTGAAAGACAGATATTTTTGGCATGCCTATCTGCCAGTAAATGGGAGCTCTTTTCAGGGCAAACATAAAGTAGGGTTGCCATTACTCGCCTCATTGATCACCTGTTGAAATTGGTGCTGTACGTCCCACTCAAATTTCCACTGATGTTTACTGCAAGAATAATATCCAGTGGCCACAACAAAAGAATGAGTGAGAGTCTGAAATATCGGTTGCTCGTAGTCTTTCCCAAGTTTATTTGCAAAATCCTGCTGTCCCTCTCTCAGATCTAGTAATGACAGTGGGAAATGAAAGCAAATTCCTTACATGGAAGAAATAAGGGTGGTAGGACTTTTCTGAGAGGCAGAACTTGTGGGGTGTTGCAGTGTCACCTGTCCTTGAGATCTTGGTTTCCTTCGGTAGTTTCAGGTAGCTTTGCTTAAACTGTCCCTGCTTCCAAGCATATGAACAGATACCTTCGATGTGAATCCATGTCCAAGTTAATGATTTGAATGTACCTACCTATAGCCATATCTTTGCATAAAAAAGGCACAGAGAATTTTCTTGAGAAAATGCGTACATTTAGATCATGCCTATATGTTTGGTGTTAATTTCTTCAGGTTGAAGTTCTACATGATTTCGAGGCAGCTAACAGCGATGAGCTTAATTTAAAACGAGGAGATATTGTACTAGTAATTCCTTCCGAGACCACAGCTGATCAGGTAAGAACATGTGGTTCTTTCTTTTGTTGACATTTTTCTTTGTATCATTTTATTTCTCACAGATTATAGTTAATGGGAAATGTGTATTCAACATGTCATTACTGTTAGAAAACATGAAGATTCTAATTTTTTCTTTGTACTTGGTTCCGTTTGAGACTAAATGGCACAGTTAGCTACAGCTAAAGTCCCAGATACATGCTACTGACAGGATCTGACCTCAGCATATTTTCTAGGACTTTTTAATGCTACTTTGTAGTGGATTTTGTACAGGCACACATGCACATAAAGATTTAATATGGAAGATGGAAGCAGTCTGTTTGCAGTGGTGTCCTGCGACAGGACTAGGGGCAATGGGTGCAAACTGAAACATAAGAGGTTTCAGTTGAATATGAGGAAAAACTTCTTTACTTCGAGGGTGACAGAGCACTGGAACAGGCTGCCCAGGGAGGTTGTGGAGTCTCCTTCTCTGGAGATATTCAAGGCCCGCCTGGATGAAGTCCTGTGTAGAATGCTCTAGGAGAGCCTGCTTTAGCAGGGGGGTTGGACTAGATGATCTCCCGAGGTCCCTTCCAACCCTTGCGATTCTGTGATTCTGTGATTCTGTGAAGATGAATTAATTAAAAATTGTACATTATGTTGCTATACATTATCTTGTCTTAACATTGCAGAAGAAGTGATTACATGGTCCCTAGCTGTTCAGAGCTTTTATGTGTGGATTTGGAGAATAATACAAATTCACCCACAGAGAGCAATGAGACTGCACACAAAATGTGGTGCCCTACAGCCAAAATGTATAGAGGTTCTGCTATGCGTGCTTCATGCCTCTAAAACTAATTCTGGAAGCCTGAACCTGAATTAAACCACAGTTTAATTTCATTTAAGACATCTAATTTTGTTTTAACAGCGCATTTCAGGTGAATTTTTTAACAATTGTATTCCATGCATTAAACTGAATTGCAGTGAATTGGTTTTAGGTCACTGCTTTAAAAAAGAAGACCATACTGCACACTGTTAGCACCAGCCGCTTCGTGGGCATCTGTTGGTGCCAGTAGTGTTGGTGAAAAGTCTCCGGTTGATTTGGGGGTTGAGAGTTGGGGACCTGGATCCTGCCTAGTGAGGTAGCTAAGGGCACTGCTCTGAATGAAGAATATTTCTTAAAATAGGCCTAAATACTAATGCCCTAAGCACATATGAGTGCTGGGGACTGCACTTGAAATTATTTTGATGGTTGATGCTGTCCACGGGTAGGTAATAACCAGTGCTCATCATCTCAGCTGAGCTTTCTTTAATACAAGAGACAAGCAATTGGTTTTTGTGTTTGGAGGGGTTTTTATTTCAGCATAAAAGATTTTTCTTTCAACAGGGCACTTTGCTCTTTTTATAGGGATAGATTTTGTTATCCTTACTCAAATTCTGCTGCTTCTTACCTCATGGGCAGTTCAGCTGATTTTGTTATCAGTATTTGCAGGGTAGGATAGGACACTGCTGTAAGGATAGCCAAATCTGCTCTCTGTCTTCAGTCTGTTTTTCTTAGGTATTAAATATGCTTAATCTTCACTTGGTGAATCCATGAAGTATATTCTTCTCTTGTGGTGTGCATCGAAATTCCATTAGCATTAACTGAAGTAAATTGTGTGCAATGATGGAGAAAATAAACCTTTATGTATTCATGTTTCTGAAACCGTTCTGGTCATATCTTTATTACTCAGTACATACTTACCCTTCATGTTTAACATCACCATAAAGCTTAATCTTTTTGTCTTTTGCCAGATACTTTGTTGATTTATATAGAGTCTTTTTATCTTTGTCATTCTTTATTCTCCTTCAAAATCGACCTGTCTAAAACCATAATTCTAATATAACTGGTAACATCAGCCTGCGTTCCCCGTTTGAAGCAACCCAGTCCCACCCAAGGGGCTTCCATTTTTCCATCTGGCTTGAGCTGAAGTTATTATCCAGTAAAACTGTTAAGTCCTTTGTACAATCTGCTCTGCCTGTGCTAGAAAGCTGTAGTTCCTCACTCCTTTCTCTCAGATATCCTGCATGCTTCAAAAATGTGTCCCCAGTTACACATACCCAGCCAATGTCATACATAAGCTGCATCCGCTTCAGTGATGCGTATTTGGGGGCAGAGAGCCAGTACATCACCACATGCAGCCACTGAGCAATCGTGACTTGGGGTTGTACGTGCAGATCCTTTCATGCTACTCTATCTCCTCGTGTGCTCTCTGTGCAATGATAATATGGCAGCACTAGAAATTCCCTGTTCATCATGGCTTTGCTCTGTCTCCTGTTCTTAAAAGGACAAGGCACAGCATTCGTGAGATGAGAGGAGGTTGAACTTTTTAAAAGAAAATACTGAATTGATTTTATTCCAGTAGAATTGATAATACTTAAGAGAACCCAGCACTTTCTAATAAGAAATCTCTCTTTCAATTTCTTGGGCTGAGGGTTTGTTTTGCAATTTTTGCATGTCTGATTTTGGTTTAGGTTTCCAGGAATTTTTGGAAAAATAGTTGAATATCAACTAAGTTTGAGCTTCTAGAGATCATAACTCCAGAGGATGCAAGAACTGTTATTTCTTCTGAATGCAGATACATGAATGAGACAAAAGAACTCTCAGGAAAAAAATTCTGATTGAAAACTAGTTCTTCCCCCCATCTATGGTATTGTGTAATGTTTCTGCACACTGCACAAGCACACCAATATTATTGTGGGAACTTTGAAAAAGTTTCAGCCGAGATTCACACACAAAAAAAAAAAAAAAAAACAACGGAGATTTGCACAAATGCAGATCTGGTATAACACTGGGTGACCTGGAAGACTGATAATCCAGGTTTGAGTTCAGGTGGGGGTTAGATAGGCTACAGGCCGTACAATATGTTCACAGCCACTCGGTCTTGTACAACTATGGTCTGGCAGAACAAAGAAAACAGTCTGTGCAAAATCAGAGGCTGCTTTTTAAGCAAAGCACCAAATCTTTTAGCCATGTGACTCCAAAATGTCCGAGGGTCTGAAGCTCGTAGCAAGGAAGGGGGGGAGACCTGAAGTTTAAGAGACTCTGTCTTTTTCCTTGCAGGAGGCTGGCTGGTTGACGGGCATTAAGGAATCCGAGTGGCTTCAGTACAGAGATGCAAATAGTTATAAAGGACTTTTCCCAGAGAACTTCACACGCCACCTGGAGTAGTTCTCCGCTCAGGCAGACGACCGTGGTACGAAGCTCAGTCAGTAGGTTTTTAACCTCTTTGAAACACAGGAGCCCACCTTTTTGTAGTTTAAGCTGTTAATGGTTTACAGACTGGTGCCAGACAAAGCTTGTTGAAACATATCAAAATGAGCATGAATGCAAACAGTTAAGCTAGCAATTTCTGAAGCAGTACATGAAAAAAAAAAGAAATAAAAAAGAAATGTCCTTATTTGTTCACACGTACGTGGCAACGGGTTTGTTTGTGCTTTGTCAGAGCTATGGTGATCCCGTACTTGGTCCTTTCCCATGAAATCTGAAATTAGCCTCCTCAATACCAAAACCTTAACTTCTCTGCACTAAGTGTATTGTATTGAGTTGCACTGCAGACGATTTAATTAGTTATCCTGTAGTAATGAGGTCAAACTGTTATAAGTTTCATGTGTTTAAAAAAATAATTAACTGCTGCAACATTTTTCAATGTTATTTTTGGACATGCATAATATATATACACACAAGAACTTATATGTGTATATATAAGTGCATATGGATATATATGCATTTTCACAACTTCATCGTAGTTCTTTGACTGCGTAGTATCATCAGTACATGCATTGCTCTTTCACTGTCTGGCATTACAGGAAACGGTTTTGTTCCAAAGCAAAACTAGCTGCTCCATTGCCAAAACATGATACAGTATCTGTGTTCGTAATGTGAAATTTTCATTCTGAGATGATGAATAACATCATGTTCAAAGCTGCTAAACCTTTGAGAAGGCATGGCTCGGTCTCCCCTTCCAGCTGCAGTAGTTAAAATGAGATAATCTGGAGGGGGAGCTGTTATGATGCTAATCTATAATTTTTTTATTTAATTGGCTGAATAAATAAATAAAAGAAACAGAACTAATCTCTGAGAAGAAATAAACACAATATATTTTCACTATATGTATTTATGCAGCATACCTTCACAGATCCTTTTAAAAATAAGATATATAATGTATCCTGTATCAAAAAGTCATCTGTAACTTATGTTTTCCAGTGCTGTGTCATTAAAAATAAACCTTTGATCCAGAGAAGCTGTTTCATCTGTGGTGCTTTTGAAGCTTTGTAACACTGAAGTTCGTATAGTCTATATGTTGTATTAGAGAATTCAATCTTAATTTAATACCTCTTTTTCCAAAGAAACACGGCATAATGGGTGCACCATCTAAATCAGTGTTCTCAACACTAGTCGTGGCCAGAGCTGCAAAAGGTCTGAACCCCAGCTCAGCACAGCTCCTAGCTGCTTCCCTTGTTCCAGACTCCGACCGCCAGCTGATATCTGTCCACAAGCACCAAGGGAGCTTGTCTGTGCTTGACCATCACTCAGCTGAGGATTGCTACTTCTTAGTAATTTTTCGCTTGTCCATTTATTTTGTGTGGAAAGAAAGTTCTCCATGAATCTGCTCTATTGTGTTCGCTGATGCATGGAAGCTGCACATATTTAGGAACATCTGTATTTTCCTAGCAATTCAGTTATTCTTCATGATATTTTGGTTGGGTTTGTGTGCAAATGGTATCCGTTTCCACTCTAATTTGTCAGATTTCAGTTGAAGAAATAGATTTTTTTTGTTGGTCTGGAAGAGGAAGAAAGTTGGTTTCTCTCTGCTTTGCAGAATACAGTAGCTTTCAAAAGCAAGTCTAATGATAGCTGTGTTTTGGGAAGAAGCTGAATGGCTCAACTGTGACAGCTGGGATTTGGGCTTTGAAATGTCACAATGAACAATCAAAGTCTAAGGAGGTTGCAAGAAAGCTCTGTGGTTTTCTGTTCATTCCTTTAATAGGTTTGGTGGTCAGTAGTGATCCAGGGCCAAGAATCTCACCAGGGAAACAACTTGCTTTTGGTTTTGGTGCGTTACAATAAATTCCAGGCTCCAGCGCACCACTTTCAGTTGGCCGTAACAACCTATTGCACCTGATTTATGGCAAGACTCTGATGATCTCCAGGCCAGTTTCCTGCTTAACTACAGCTTAACACTTGCATTTCAGTAAGAGCTGCTATACAGATCACTGCAACAGACCAACACTGGATGATGGAGCCTCAGTTTCCCTGTGGACACCATGTGGCCACTTCTTTGACTGGGGCCGACAATGAAGTGAAACCGTCACGCGTGACAGCTGTAACCCTAAGGAAGTAGAAGACACTATGTTCAGCCCAAAGCATTTCTTTACCCAGTGCTGATTGTGTGCAGTTGCCCTCTTGGGTGCTAGAAGTGCCCAAGTCAAAGCGAACACCCTTGGCCTTGATTCTTCTAATGTCCTTGGTACACATCATTGTGCCAAATCCACTGGGTAAGGGGTTTGCAGCACACTCGAGGTTGTAGATAGATAGGAGGTCTCCAGTCTACAGCAAAGAGTTTTCATGATTTCTTCTGACATGCTCTTCAGAAATACCTCTTGACTCTACTCTTCATTTCTTAATTCCACCTCAGTATAAAGCAAAATATAATTTTAAAAGCCATCAAATGTCCACACCTCGGTGCAAGGACTGTCATTAATGGCAATAAGAAGACGTACTGATAATGTCCCAAAAGCTATGGTATTGCTCACGATGCCTGTGTCATTTATGTGCTGCAGGTTACTGTGGGTATGGCATACCATTCTGACATTGAGTATGTCTTCGTATCTCACACATGCACCCCAGAGACACAAAGCAAATAGATGCCTTGCAGGAAGAATGAGGAGAATTATGTTATATCTTTAAAATTTCTTGCAAATTTTCATATACTAAGATGATAGATGCTAAAGGAAGGACATCGATAGATAGGAGTTCATGTAACATATTTATCATTTTGCATTAACAACAGTTTCTCATACTCAATTTCTTATTACTCTAGTTTCCTTAGACAATCAGACTTAACCTTTCAGATACTTTTATGCCTGCAGCTCCTGAGATGAGCAGTATAAAATAAGTGTATTTCTCTGAGATCTGTAGAAGCTTGTTCTAGAGAAAGCAAAGGAAATTCTTTCCAGTATGTACTGCTGTTATGTACCAGTGTATGTACCCTCCCCCCTGGAGTTATATTAGCCCAGAATTATTTCCCCTTTTTCTTGGATCTTTCTGTTAACACACTGCATTGGACTGAATTCCATGCTTTCAGGGTGACTGTAAAGCAATAACCCATTGTATCTTGGTTTCTCTTAAGACTTATTTATGCCTAAGATGGCACACGCTACTAACCTTGTACAGCAGCTATAATTTCTAATTCTACATCAAATAAACCCTTGAAAGATTTAGGGACCCAATCTCCTGATTTCGCAGGCTGATTATGCCTGGTGTGGCCTTGGAAGTAAGACAACCTACCTGGAGATGGAGGAACATCTCTTGTGAGTGAACTAATAAATTGTGTATTTGCAGCTCATCTATCTGGTTTACAACCTTCGTGAATAATGAAAAATGCATAAGCTGAATGACACGTCTGTCCCTTTTCTCCTCCTCCTCCTCCTCCTCCTCTCCCCACCCTGCTCCACCTCTTCCAGACCTCACAGCTGGGTGCATCTGTCCCTGCCACAAGAAGAGGGAGGGGGGGGGCTGCAGGGTAGGGTCCTACTCAGATTGCATTGCATTTGATTCCAGGATGCTCTGATGCCCTAATGCCAGAAAGACGTAAAGTAAATCATAGTCTCATTAAGCTCATGCTTAATGAAAACGTTGTACTGTCTTGATGACACGGGGAAAAAGGCATCAGAAGAAAGTCACCGTGATGGGTAAGTTAGATGGATGGGGTTGGGAAGGAGCAGTCGCTGGCAGTAGGAGCAGTTTACAAGGCTGTCCCCTCTTGCACCCCCACGTGCAGGCAGAGCATGTGCATCTGTTACAGCTGTAGCAGCCAGAAGTACCACAGCAGCCTCCAGAACACCACAGTTTGCAGCTTGAAGGACAACATCAGATGTTACTGTTAGTTTTTAAAGCAGATTTAAAAGATCTGTCTTTTTGTATTTAAACCACTAAGGTGACAGTTGATGAAGTACCACCTGATAAGCCAATCCCCAGCTGCAGAAAGTAATTAGTTCAATTAATTAAGCACAGTCACGTTTCTGAAAGCAGCTCAGAAGAGTGTGAAGGTGTTTCTCCAGCCGGCTGTAATCAGCAGTGTCACTGGTAGCTCTGATGTGCTCTCTGGCGGCGAGATGTTTGCTGCGGACGAGAGGACGGCAATGGACATGGTGCACAAGATTCAGTCACACTACACAGCAGACGCGTTGCTTCTCTGTTAAACTCCAGCTCTTTCTGGGGTAAAGAAATCCTATTTATTTAAGAAGAGGAATTTTAGGAAATGACGCGTTCTCAGCCCAGGTTCAGAATTAGAGAATATGAAGTGGGCTGTGTTTTCGGACTCGGCATCTCTCTAAATGTATAGATGTATGATGAGATAGCAACTTTTCAAAGATTCCTCTCCTAGCTCTTTACCTGTGTGATTTCAGCCCTGGTGCTATCTTTGTGTGTATCGCACCTCTGGCAGCACTTCAAATACGTCTGTGTTTCTCTTGCGTGGATGTCTTCAGTCTGACCTGTTCGATCAGTCCAGAAGCATCTTATGGGAAAACAGCAACGCTTTCCAAACGGTGTCTCCCATAATCAACAGGAAGACCTCGCAATTAACATTAATTTGGCAAGGCTGAAATCATCCCAAAGAGAACTATGCTGCATGTTCAGATGCTTAATTGCATTTAAAGGAAATTTTAGCGAAATAAAATACCTAGACAGTAGTAAAAGTACCACTCTATGTGCATACAGGATTTCTGCCCAGCCACAGGCACTAAATGCAATGCAGGGAACAAGAAAGCAGCATGTAGCCATCAGAAATAGGGTCTCCAGCAATCACTGGGACCCATATCTGCTGAAGAGGGTCAACTGATGCAAGTGTCCTATACATCCTCAGCCTGGCTTCAGAGGAGAAAACAGGCTGGGGTCTCTTTTGGTGCCATAGGAGCGTAGGCTTTGGTGCAAGCCAGGCTAACCCC